ACGAACGACTAAACTACTTGTCTCTTCGCTCTTTATCTATAGCCAAAAGATGTATCTCGGTCGAATATTATATGTACTTACAGATAAACATGCAAAACCCGAGTCAAATCTATCTATTTTATTGGCTTAGTTAGTGTCGGTCATATCAGATTGGAAAATTTAAAACTAGTGATAATGTTCAAGGCTATATTGAAATTTTGAGTTGATTCGATCGTTGACTTGAATGATTGAATATAGTTTGACAACCCAACCATACTGAATCCGTGGATGGTTATTTTTTTAAAATTATTTATATACATTCTACTTATTTACCCTGCATGTTACATTAATAGTCACAATACGAATTGAATTTCCAATTTTCCAATAATTCAACCCAACTTAAATAAATAAAAAAATCGAAAGCGTGTACCAGATTTGTCAGAAGTCCTATTCCTTTTGCTAGCGTAATAGAAATGGTTGAAACGAGAGCTTCGAACCTTATATATGCATCAGTATGGATAGTCTTAAAGTACAAGCTAAGGTAGTCTCAAAGTCGGGCCAAGTGAAAGATCGACACTCGAAAACTTAAGGAGCAGCGCACAAAAGAGAAAGCGGAGGAGATGGAGATTTTTGTTCCATTTTAAGTAAGGTAGAAATATAAGAACAAAAATAAATAAATAAATAAAAGTTTTGAAATTAATTTAAAATATTACAAGAATCAAATTGTTTTTATTTATTTTTTAAAACGAGCATCATTTCCATCACTTCATTAATAATTAAGTGGACCTTGATTTGGAAACTTTAAACTATATATTATTCAACGTGACATCCTAACCGTGGCATTTAAATTTGATTTATGGGTCAAATTCATTCAAATCACTGATGATTAGATGGATAATCATTTAATTATTTGTTTCTTTCTTAACATCACAATTTATTCATTAAAATAAATAAATAAAATTACAATTTCTTTAACATAATCGATTGTTTTATATTTTTTTTTATTAATTTAAAACATTTTCCATTTGAAAATTATAAAAAAAAACAATTAAATTTTAAAATATAAATTCCTCTAGTGATACTTACTAGTCTTTTTCTTAATATATTTTTTAAATATTTTAAAAAATAAATTTTAATTTTAATTAGGCTTGTATTCACTTCCAAGTCGTATATATTATATTTAATTACATTATTTTACACATTTGAATAATAAGACAACGAATACAGATAGAGAAAAAAGTGAAAAACTAAAAGGATTATCGACGAGATATTAAATTAATAATATCAATGATTCTCGAAGATCATTGCTCGTAAAAAAAATTTAAAATATTGAAAATTTTAAGGTGGGTGTGATTTTTGTCAGGTGTTTTTATTTTAAAAGGAAAAATCATGAATTAGGTAAGTGTAAATATATGAAAGCACATGTCCTCAGTGACGCTGTATGATTTTAGTATATGGTTTGGGTGTTAATAATATCTGATTAATTAACCATACAAATCTTTATAATGTAAAGAATATAAATTAAAACTATATAAGAAATCAAAATAATGAAACATATGGATGAGTGAGATCCAACGACATAAATTGCCAGTGAAGCATCCCAACCAAATGGAAAATAAATAAATAAATAATAAATGTTTGGGATTTGGCAGAAAGTGCAAAATCCAGAAGTCAAAGGATAGAGAGGAAGTCAAATGGGTGTTGGAAAGGAAACAGACAAGAAGGCATGTGAAAGTGGGGAAGCTTTGGTTTTTTTTTTTTTTTTTAATTAATTAATTAATCATTAACAACCAAACATTGCATTATAATTAATTAAGGAAGACCATGCCCTAATGATTTATTTCATTCTTCTTACCTTAATTTAATTACCAAATTTATTATTATGTCATTAATTCACCATTATTTTTAGGAGGTAAATAAGATTTTAGCGGTCAAAAAATATTATATTTTTTATTAGGATACTAAAAAACACAATCGACCAAATTAAACCTGTACTGTTTGTGTTGAATTCGTTGTAAAGAAATGAAAGTTTTTCGAAAATTGTAGAGAAGTCGATAGTTGTTTGAAACCCAATATGAAAATCAGAAGAAGTTGGGCTAAATTCGATGATTTAAGTTGAAAAAATGTGATTCCTCAAAGAAATCCCGAACTCTTTCTATTGAAAATAAAATAATTAATCAGGTCATGGAATTGTGAGACGAGGAGAGAAGAGGTAATGAAATTGTAAACTCATATAATGAGCTTAAGAGAGAAACAATGAACTGAGAGAGGAGAGAAGCAGTGAAACCGAATTTTGAATTAAGTTAGTTTACGAATTTCTCGATTAAATCAAATTAACACGAAATTATTGCTAATTATAAAATATATATTTGTGCATGCAAAATAATATTATACAAATATATTTATTTAATTTTATAATTATCTTTTTTTATTATTAATTTTTCAATAAATATTAAAAATAATTTTTAATTATTTAAAAGATAATTTCGGTAAATTTTAAATAAATGTTTGAAAATAAATAAACTAACATTTTATTTTTATTAAAAAAAATTAAATTAATGACTTTAATAACCCAAACCTAGCTCAAAAACACCTCTATTCTTTTACCCATATAGGAATTAGTCACAATCATATTAAAATTTTATTCTTATTAAAACTTTAAATTTTTTTTTTTTTTTTTTTTAAACCCATCAATTATTTTCAATATTTGAATAGTAAAAAGAAGGGTAGATGTATGGACAGTTTTTTTTTTCNATTAAAAAAAATATAAAATTATTATTATTATTATTTGGCAATTGGATTATTTATTTATTTATTTATTTATTTATAATTTCATTCTGGAACAGACTAGATTTAACAAGTAAAAAAAAAAAAAAAAAAAAAAAAAAAAAAAAAAAAAAAAAAAAAAAAAAAAAAAAAATCTTGTAATTAAGGTGGCTGTCCAAATCTTCATGTCTTTTTTTATTTACTGGTGAAAATGAAAAGTGGGAGAAAATAAGTCAGGTCCCATAAAATGTCCCAATAATAACAGTATATTTGATTGAAACATTTTTTTTACGACAAAATAATAATAATAATAATAATAATAATAATAATAATAAAATAATGTTTTAATTATTAAACTTTTTATTTTGCGTGTTTTTATTTTAAATGCTATTTATTAACACAAATTATTACATTAAAGGTCGATTTCATCATTATTACTACTAAAAATCAGCATCTGAGTATATTGAATACCATAATTCTTGATAATGACGTGTCATTTTCAAATACAAAAAAAAAAAAAAAAAAAAAAAAAAAAAAAAAAAAAAAAAAAAAAAAAAAAAAAAAAAAAAAAAAAATCTATTCTTTTTCTTTTTCCTTTTTCCACTCTCGATAGCCACTCTTTTCTCTCACGATTAAATTCTTTAGTCGGTAACGAGATTTGGCATCACTGATACTAATCATCTCGTGGGGTTCATTCGATATTTATAGCTGAATTTTAAGATGAGTTAGCAAGTTTTATGTCCCGTATGTTTTACGAAGATATAAACGTGGTTGCATGCATGCATGACTAACTCCATTAATTACGACAAGAATAAAGTCATTTACAAGAGGATAAGTGATAAGAATACCATCAACTATTGTGTCACGAGCTATACTTCGACATTAGTATTGAGTTGAACTATTTTTCGATCGATTATAATGTAAAAACTTCATGATTCAACCGTGCCCGTAAATGAGAGAACATGGGTCATTCAAATGGGTGGCGAAGATATGCAATAAAAAGGGTCCCATTCCATTTCCTCTAATCTAATACTCTCTCTCTCTCTCTCTTCACTTTCTCTCTCTTCCTTTTATTTTCCTCATTAATTTTTTTTAATTATTCAACATATAAATATTTCACCATCCTTCCTAAACTCATCCACAATTCTCCTCTCTCTTTCTCTCTCTAACACCATTTTTGAAGCCAATTCTGCCATTGTTCTTCCTCTTCTTCACAAACCAGTTAGTCTCTCTCTCTCTCTTCTCTGTAATATTTCTCATTTTCTCTCTCTAAAATATGATATGGGTTTTGTCAATTATCAATCTTTTTTTAAATCGTTGTAGATTTGAAACGTTCTACGTTCATAGATATATGTCTTAATCCATGGATTGTATCTATCAAGTTTCAATTTTTTTTTTTTTATTTTAGATTAATGTTTTATTCTTATTGTTTTGTAATGTTTTTGAATTTGAATGTTATAGTAAAGGTATTCATATGATCGGAGATAGGCTAGTTTTTTCTCCGATTTGGATTGGATTAAGTTTTTGAAAAATAAAAAATTAAGGTCGGTTCACATGTTGGCACTTTTTTGTTCGGATTAACCTGAAAATAGAGTTACATCCCAACCCAACCCACCCCTACCTGATTTTCATTGTAACGATATTAATGATGCGTTATGTCTTGTGAATTATCTGATATTTTAGTTATTAGTGTGACATGTACTAGAATAAGTAGGATTTGTAACTCTACTTTAGTGGCTTCAGTCACTAACCCAACCAACTCAAAATTTTGAATTTGTCCAACACAATTCAACTCAACTCAGATATGACTGTTCTCCATTTACGAGCTGTTTGTTTCCCGAGAAAATGAAAGAAAAAAAAGTAATGCCCAAAACACGACACACTTTGATTTCTCCCACTAAATTTACAAACTTTTTTTTTGGGGTCACAAAGAAAAATACATTATTGAGATGAACAGTAAATTAGAAAATGAAAGAGAGAGAAAAATAAAAAAGTGGGGAAAATCTGAAGTGGTGATTGGGGATGCTGTTGCCAAACATATGATTCAAATAATTGAGACAGAATGATTCTGCATAATTTTAAACCAACATTTTTCCATTTAAATAATCCAAATCCAACCAATCAAATTTCTCTATTATGCGATCCTCTTTGGGATAAGTACCAATTAATATTCAAATAAATCAATCAATAATTAACCCTTTTCTCTTCTTATTTCTTCTATGTTCGTCATTTAGTTGTTGCATTTGCACCAAGATCGATTCTTGATCTTTTTTACAAGTAACCTAACACGACACTATGATTATTCTTCCAAAATTTGACTGTTTTATGTCTTCTTTGAGGCGTATTTCACTTTTGATCTGTAATGGGGTTCGATTAAAATGGTTTTTTGTTGGATTAATCCATGAAAAAAGTTGAGTTTATTGCAAATGAAACGGGAAATCTTCATGGGAAATTGGGGATTTTGGGATTTGGGGTTCTTCTTCTGTTGGATGAGCGGCGGGTACGGATCATCGTGAGTGCCACTACCATTTGGAAGCTTCGTGAAAAAGACCCGTTTCATCTTATCTTACTGCTGCTTACTCAATATTTTAGTCTCTATTTCTGGCGCTCTCTTTAGCCAAATGGACGCGCTACACTCTGCTCGGGTTCTTCTAATATCTTCTCTGTATGAATCAAGAACCGTGTGAAGTTCATACAGGAAGATGAGAGCGCTGTGGATACGGTGATGCTTCCTTCTTCTTCTTCTTCGTCTTCTTTACTCTCTCCGTGTTGTTTGGATCTGTTGTCCCGTGAGTTTCTTCTTATGAATCTGATTCGTATTCGCAATTTCTAATCGAAAAGAAACCGACCCATTTGGAGGATTTGCGGCATTTCTGGAAAGAACTATCTAGTTTTCACTTTTGTCTCTGTTTGGTAGAACAGGGCAAGATAGATCGGTTTTGAAGAAATCTGGTACTAATTTGAGGTATGTATCATAGAAATGGGAAATGGGAAATGGGAAATGGGAAATGGGAGAGACCCTTTTCGATTGATGTTTAGATACTCTAAGGATGCAAGTCAAATACATGAACCCATAAGAGAAAACCCAGAATCCAGTGTTCTTATAATCTCTGCCAACAAGAGCCCCAAAAGAAACCCAGAAACCAGAATGTGAGTGTGCAGCTTGCCTAGCCCATTGCATCTATTATTTATTATGTGGAATTGAACAAAACATTTAGCTGGTGTAGCCTGCTGCACGAACCCCGATGAGTTTATATCAGAGATGATAAAAGAATGGCAGCTGAGAGATACATATAGAAAGGCGAATTGATTGAGGGGCGTTGTGGAGTTAAAAGAGGAAGAACAAGTCCCGAGTGTTTGGTTTAGGTAAGTTAGGTCGGAGCTTTACAAATTATGGGGTTTTCTTGTTAGTTAAGAGGATGATTTTGCCATAAACGAGTGTTTTGTGTTTGGTTTATGGCGATTTGTGGCTGTAGCAGGGGAGGGGGGGCTTTCTCAGACCGCCTGTCTGCTTCTTTTTCACCGTTTCCTCTTTATATTGCTGTGATTTGTCTATTAAATGCTTCTTTTCGAAGCACTCAAAAAGGCTATTATATATTGTTGCTGAGCTGAACCCAACTGTTCTTCTTTTCATCTTTTGATAATTTTTAATCGCTTAAATCTCTCTTTACTCAACTGGGTTTGGGGATTTAGCTTTATTTGAGCGTTTTCTTGCACTTTTCCCATTTGGTTTGGCTGAAATGTGGACGAGTTAGGCCTTTTCCATTGAATTTGCTCCACCAAATAAGCATCATTCTGAGAAACCCCACGATCCTTGTTGTGTATAATGCTCGAGCGTCTAATGGATTTGTTTAACAAGATGTAATTAGAATGAATTTATATCTAATACCCATTTTTATTGGTTGCTCACATAGATTGGTGCGCTTTGCAGATAAGTAGGCGAACACAGGCTTCTGTTTATCGAACCGCGCCGCTCTTGTTTGTCGCTCGTGCGTTTACAATTTCAAACACAGATCTCGAGACCCTTTTCCTCTTAGCTACAACAGCTGACATCTGTTTTGCTTTTGCACCAATTTTTCCGGCCTTCCCCTCCCATTCTCTCTTATTTATGTAGACCCCAATCTTCCTCCTCCTCCTCCTCCATTGATTTTGAACTCGATTCAAAGTACTTGGACGAGTTTTTCGTGGCTTTGTTTTATACTTTCCTCAAAGGCGTGGGGTTTGACTCTATGAGAAGAAGCTGTATTAGCCACAATCTCAGCCGGGTCGGTGACATAGTGTTGAATTTTGCTGTTGCTTTACGGTGATCTCGAGGTATAGCCTTCGAACCTTGCTGCCTTGGGCTGTGTTTCCTGTATTTGATTATTCCCATCACTTCCTTTTCTTTTGGGTCCATTTTTCTTTCTTTAATCCAAAGTCGTGTGGTGAGTAATTGTATTAAAAATCTTAGAACATGCAAAAACCAGCGGCATTGATACATTCCTGAGGTTGGTAGTTGAGTTGGTCTTTTGTACTTACAATTATTTGGATCTTATATCTTCTGCCGACTCATTACCTGTGGACCATGTTCATTGTTTAGTATATTATTGCTGAGTGAAACTCGGGCCGTGATAATTGGATTACGTCCATATTAAAGAAGCTGCTGAGTTCTTTCCTTTGCTGTTCTTGTAGAATTGTTAAGTGTTTGGCCTTTGATGTGGAATATTGCTCCTGGAACAAGACATGCTGAGTTCTGACAGAGACACAGATGTTTTCTTCGACTCAGAAGATTACTTGCCATTAGAGGACTCCTTGGTAGCAGAAGAAGTGGATTCCAACAAGTTGGGATATGAAATATGGATGAGTGAGCCACAGAGCATTAAGAGGAGAAGACAGCGTTTTCTTCAAGAAGTTGGATTACTTGAATTTGCGTCTTCAAGAACTTGTGCACATGATTTAGTGATTGAATCAAGCGATTCATCAGGGAGGATGGAATTGGAGAGACTAACAGAATTCAGTGGAGCTGTCTCAAGTTCTGACTATGCTCCTACCTGTAATGTGGAGGAGAATGATTTAGAACTATGCTCAAATGAGATGCTTCTACCAGTTTCTGTTTCGAACTCCGGTTCTCGACGTTGCCATGGCGAAGCTGACGTTGAAGGTTGCCGGGATATTGATGTCAGTAAAAGAAAAATAAAGAAGTGGTGGAGATCATTCAAGAACAAGGCGGCGAGCTTAAGAAGGACAGAGTTTTCTGAGGAATTGAAAACAATCCCAGCAGAATCCAAAACTTGCAGAATGAAGGTGTATCAAAACAAGAAGAGATGCTCAGAGTTTAGTGCTTTGTATATGAGACAGCAGATTGTTGCACACAAGGGCTTGATTTGGACAATGAAGTTTAGTCCAGATGGGAAGTATTTGGCAAGTGGAGGAGAAGACGGAGTCGTTCGTGTATGGCGTATATCGTCTGCAAATGTCTCTAGTGAGTTCTTAGCAAATGATGGCAATCATAACAACAAACCAAGAGAAGGGAAGTCTAGCCTCAGCAGCAAACCGTTGAGATTTGCCACTGTTGTCATTCCTGAAAAGGTTTTTCAGATTGATGAGCAGCCAGTGCAAAAGTTCTATGGGCATTCCAGTGATGTCTTGGACATAGCTTGGTCCAATTCAAACGTAAGACATCTATGACAACTGTTTGTTTGTTTGTTTGTTTTTTGGACTGTCGAAGAAACAAAGCTAACTAGATCCTCTTGCTACAGTGTCTTCTTTCATCCTCAAAGGATAAAACTGTGCGCTTGTGGGGAGTTGGCTCTGATCAATGTCTTGGTGTTTTCCACCACAAGAACTATGGTAAGTTTTGAAATCATGCATCCATTCAAGTTCTTGCTGGCGCCATTCTCTTTTCTAAAGTGTTATTACTTTGTTTTTGGGATCAGTGACTTGTATCCAATTCAATCCAATGGATGAAAACTACTTCATCAGTGGCTCAATTGATGGCAAAATCCGAGTTTGGAGTGTGTTGAAACAGCGGGTGGTTGATTGGGCTGATGTCCGAGATGTCATTACTGCTTTAGCTTATCAACCAGATGGGAAGGTGCGAGTTGTGAACTCTCACAAATTGAATATATATGTCTTACACAGTGCTCTGATCATACCTTGTTCTTCTATGTGAGCAGGGTTTTGCTATTGGCTCGATTACCGGCACGTGTCGTTTCTACAAAACATCAGGTACAAATCACGGTGCATTCGACGAATTCGACATTGTATAATGATGCTGCCCTTCAACTCCTTTACTGATTTAGATTGTTGTGATTTTGTAGGTGATTATTTTCATTTGGATGCACAGATCAATGTTCAAGGGCGAAAAAAGGCCTCGGGCAAAAGGATCACTGGCATTCAGGTTTTGCTCAGTACTTAGATAGTTCCTTTGCTAAAGCAAACTATTGTCTTAAATACCATTGCCTCAACTTGAATGCTATTCTTTGCAGTTTTGCCGGGAAAACTTTCAAAGAGTGATGATAACTTCGGAAGACTCGAAAGTACGCATATTCGAAGGAACCGAAATCGTCAACAAATATAAAGGTATGAATCCGGTCTGATTGCTCTCTTATGATTCTATTAGAACTCATTATGCTCCCACGTCAGTTGGGAGAGGTGAACGAAACATTCCTTATAAGAGTGTGGAAACTTCTCCCTCACAGACGTGTTTTAAAACTGTGAGGTTGATGGCGATACGTTATGGGCCGAAGTAGACAATATCCATTAGTGGTGGGTTTGGGCTATTACAAATGGTGTCAGAGCTAGACACTAAGCGGTGTGCCAGCGAGGACACTGGACTCCCAAAGGGGGTGGATTGTGAGATCCCACGTCAATTGGAGAGTGAAACTAAGCATTCATTCTAAGAGTATGAACCTCTCCCTAACATACGTGTTTTAAAACGAGACTGACGATGGTATGTAACAAGCCAAGGTTCTACCAAGAACCACCTCTGGCCCTCCCTACTAGAAATCCATTTTTCAAAAGAAAAATGATTTCAACCGATGCTAACATTACAACTACTGGTTTAGTGTTGAATGGTTAATTACTCAAAAATCTCTACAATTACCAAATGAGTTCATGCAAGCGGTTCTAGTTAAAGCATGAGGGGGTCTGCATTGACTTTCTCTTTATTCTTGTGTTTATTCATTTGAATTATTCATAAACAGTGATTGATAGCCATGAAAACCATATTTAATTATAAATCAGAGATGTCCATTGCATCTGCACTTGACTTGTAAAAATCTATTGATGGAAAGTTCTGTTTCTCTCTCATAATAGCTGTACACTGTTCTATCATATTATTGGCTTGAAATGAGGAAGGCCAGTGATGTTAGCTGATCTGTAGTTCAATGAATCTTTTGAGGTTTATATGCTTAGATTCTCGTTTCGAAATGCAGGTCTACCGAAGTCGGGGAGTCAGATGTCTGCTTCTTTTACAAAAAATAGGAAGCATATAATATCTGTAGGAGAGGACTCTCGTGTATATATGTGGAACTATGATAGTCTTCACCTCCCATCAATGAAAGAAACGAAATCTCAGCAGTCTTGTGAGCATTTCTTGTCTGATGGTGCTTCTGTTGCTATACCATGGCCTGGTGTTGGAACCGAGCTGAAATGCTTTGGCAACAACCAACGGCAGTTCTCACAGAGTCAGGATTGCCAAGGGGCTGCTGCTTCTTGGACAAGAGATTCAGAGCGTTTTTCCCTTGCTAATTGGATCTCTGCTGATAGTCTGTGCCGTGGATCCGCAACATGGCCAGAAGAGAGGCTACCTCTCTGGGATTTACCAGTTGCAGATGATGAACATGGCAACCTGGAACACCATAATAGTCAGAGTGACGCCCACGACCATGTAGCTCCACCCGACACATGGGGCCTTGTGATTGTCGTGGCTGGATTAGATGGAACTATAAAGACATTCCATAACTATGGATTGCCCATCAGGCTTTAGGAATCCAATTGAATTCCAGGAGCTTCTAAAAGCTAAAAAATGGTTGATTCTTTCTCCTTTTTGTATCTTCCAGTCAGTGCTATAGAGAAAAGCTTTCTATTTATTTATTCCTTCTAAAAATGTATGTTTTAGAGGTCTGAAAATTTGTAAATCTACCCCTTTTTTTTTCTTGTTTAGTTTATGTGAATATTACTGCCAATATAAATGGAATACACTAGGCAGATTTTTGGCATTTGAGTGCTTTTTTCTCATTGACATGAAGAATTTGAATCTTCGACAAAACAACTCTGCTCTGCCTTGTTCTTGTATTTGAATCGGTAGTTTCCAGTCTTGGCACAAGTTTATGCAAATTGAAAGGAAACCCATTAATCGTTCATTCATTGATTACTTACCCTCCTTTTTGTTTGGGGAAAGGTAAGATTTTGAGCGAATTAGACTGCGAGAGAATGAGAGTTGTGAATTGGGGTCTGCAAAGAGAGAAGAAGCTTAGCGACAGAAAATATTGTCTACCTCTCTCATAAATCGTGCTTTATTAGTGTGTTTAATCTCTTCATTGGTGCAAATTAATGGTGGGGACAGCGATTCTTCCACCCATTACTCGGGTTTTTAAAAAATTAAGAAGAAACGTGGCCAAATCGCGAGCGCACTCTTCCCCTCCGAGTATCTTCAGTTCATATATAAAAGCTCACGCGAGCGATATATTTCCGTTGAGAAAATGATGTTATCCATAACATACAAGCTCCAACTCCCTCTCGAATTCATCTTCGTCCGGAATAACGAGTTGGGTGTGTGAGATAGAACCCTAAACCCTCTCACAATTCGGCGACGAGAAAGACGGCCTTGTGGGAGGTGACAATCATTCTTCTTTGTTCGTTTCTCTAATGGCAATCCCCACGTCTCTCTTTCCCTGTTTATCTTTCGGCTCCATGTTCAGTTCTGCTTCTTGTTCTTCCTCGTCGTTATCTTTGCAATCTCTTAGTCTCTTCAAGCCCCATTGCCATGGTTTAAAGATGAACACTCCCACCTCTAATGGGTCACTCGTTGTTAACTGTTCCGCTCGCGAAATGGGTTCCAGCTCTGACCCTTTGAACGGGAGGTATTGGATATGGCCGGCGCCGCCCCTGTTTTTCTTTAATTGCTTTGAAATTATGGACTGAAATCTTGAATAAGTGAAAGTGATTTGTATGTGGGATATGGTTCGATCTCTATGTTGATTTGTTTTGGTTTCTGATGAACTTTTGAGGTGTGGTAGCTTTTGCATAGATGGTTTTCTTGTCGTGAAGTAGATTAGTGAATGTTTTTCTGCAGTAGTAAGTCGAGTGAGTGAAGGATGAGATGTTTTCCATTGTTTTGGAGATTGGATTTGTCTTTTTTTCGTTATTTTCTGTACTGTTGGAATTACCTAGGATGGTGTAGAAACGATTACTTCAAGGATGGAAGATATCATCTTTGTTCTTCCCAACCGAATAAACTCCTGAAGTGTTCGATTGGATATTTGTCTTTCTCGTCTTCTATCTTTAGAAAAATGAAACATAATACTGTACTGAATGGGATTGCTTGTCATCAGGGTTTCTTAATACTTGTACATGAATCTTGTTTTTTTACTAGCTTCTGAATGAGTATATGTACATGGTTTGTTGTGAAAGAAGTGATAAGGATCTCATTGATGGTGTAAAATTGAGGGTGTGGAAACCTCTCTCTAACGGACGCGTTTTAAGAACCATGAGGGAAAGCCCGAAACGGAAAGCCTAAATATGAGAATATTTGCTAGCGGTAGGTTTGTGCTGTTATAAATGATATCAAAGCCAGACACTGGGCGGTGTACCAACGAATATGCTGGCCCCAAAAGGGGTGGATTGTGAGATCCCACATCGGCTGGAGAGGAGGACGAAACATTCCTTATAAAGATGTGGAACCTCTCCCTAGCAGACGCGTTTTAAGAACCTTGAGGGGAAGTTGGAAAGGAGAAGCCCAAAAAAGACAATATCTACTAGTGGTGGACTTGGGCGGTTGCAAATGGTATAAGAGCCAAACACCGGGTGGTGTGCAAGCGAAGATGTTGGGCCCCCAAGAGGGGTGGGTTTTGAGATCCCACATCGGTTGGAGAGGAGACCGAAGCATTCCTTATAAGAGTGTGGAAATCTCTCTCTAGTAGATGCGTTTTAAAAACCTTGAGAGAAAGTCTGAATTGAGAGAAAGTCTGAAAGGGAAAGTCCAAAGAGGACAATATCTACTAGTGGTGGGCTTGGGCCGTTACAAGATAGCTCCAATTTGAATGGGTCTCCTTTACCTTAATGGGTCCTCTGTCAATGAGTTGGTTCAGTTAGCAAAGCCTTGAAATCTGACTATTGTTCTTAAGCTCCCGTTGGATCGTTCTCCAAATTGACTTTGGACAAGGCTTTTCATTTGATCTTCTTGGGAATGAAGTGATTTACTATGATTGTGGAACTATTTGTACTTAGTGATGGCCTATACTTCTCATTGTTTTTCTTATTTTCTGTGGCCTTTTTTGAATGAATTCTCTGCTTATGATGACCTATGACTCTCATGCTGTTGTTTAAAGAGATTTGGTGTTTTTTCTCTTCCTTTTTCCTTATAATCTTTTACTTTAGCATGAAACATCAGATATCATCTATGGCTCCCAATGGGATGATATTAAATGAAGCTTCAATGTCCATGCCATCGTATAAATGGCGACGAGTATTGCTCAAAGTAAGCGGCGAAGCACTTGCTGGTGATGGATTGCAGAATATTGATCCAAAGGTTGGTGTTTGAAGGAGACATTGTGTTACATGCTTCTTTTTAATGATGTTTGGCACCTTGCAGTTCTTTTGAGCTAACTTTTGACTGCAGGTTACCATGGCAATAGCGAGGGAGGTTGCAGCTGTAACTCGTCTAGGCATTGAGGTAGCCCAACCTTTATATGTGTGCAAGATCTTTTTCGTGTTCATATGTTCATGACTTGTTCTTGACCAATTTTTTTCCTTTTAACTCTCAAAAGAACTGAGTAAACAGCTTTGGAGAATCTGATTCTTCACTTGCACTCACCTTACGTTTGTAGACTAGGCCAATGCTATCGTTATGGATGATGTTTTGTTTCAGGTTGCTATAGTAGTTGGTGGAGGTAACATTTTCCGTGGATCTTCGTGGGCTGGAAGTAGTGGTTTGGACCGTTCTTCTGCCGATTACATTGGGTAATTTTCGTTGTACTAGATATCTCTAGACTTTGGCAAACCATTTGCTGTTGCTACCACATTTTGATATTGCAAATACCTTCATACAAGCAACATGAAAATTCACACAAAATGAAGATGGAATAGGAATATATGCCAAATATGTTGTATATATGAAAGGATATCACCCACCTCTAGTAGATATTGTCTACTTCGGTCCATTATGTATCGCCGTCAGTCTCACAGTTCTAAAACACGTTCGCTAGGGAGAGGTTTCTACACCCTTATAAAGAATGTTTCGTTCCTCTCTCCAACCGATGTGGGATCTTAGAGTCCACCCCCTTCGAGGCCAACGTTCTCGCTGGCACTCGTTCCCTTCTCCAAATGTGGGATATCCCAATCCACCCCCTTTTGGGGCTCAACATTCTTGTTGGCACACCGCTCGGTGCCTAGCTTTGATATCATTTGTAATAGCTTAAGCCCACCGCTAGCATATATTGTCCACTTCGACCCATTATATATCACCGCCAGCCTCACAGTTTTAAAATGCGTCCGCTAGGAAGAAATTTCCGCACCTTTATAAAAAATGTTTTGTTTCTCTCTCCAACCGATGTAGGATCTCACAATTATATTGGAGTTACATTCCTAGAAAGTAGAAGCAATCACCACTAGATATTTGACCTTTAGTCTCTAGTATTAATATAGTGGAGTCAAGCGATTGTTATGGGAGAGTAGTCGAGGTGCATGCAAACTAGTCCAAATATCGAGAAAAAGCATGATGGTGGACATTTTACTTTACTGGTTTTGAAATTTTGGTTGTATGTTTCAGGATGTTGGCAACAGTAATGAATGCGATATTTCTTCAAGCGACAATGGAGAGTATCGGTATTCCTACACGAGTGCAGACTGCGTTTCGAATGTCGGAGGTCGCAGAGCCATATATTCGACGAAGGGCTGTCAGGCACTTGGAAAAAGGAAGGGTTGTGATCTTTGCAGCTGGTACAGGCAATCCCTTTTTCACTACAGACACTGCAGCAGCCCTCCGTTGTGCAGAAAGTTAGTCAAATCATTGAACTTCCTACTTCAACTAATGGCTGAAACTTGCTTGATGTTTGGCAACAAATTATCTTTATAGCTGACTTTCAAATCATCTATCCAGTTAACGCTGAAGTTCTACTGAAAGCGACAAATGTCGATGGAGTTTACGACGATGATCCAAGGCGAAACCCGAAGGCACATCTGCTAGAAACTCTTACGTACCACGAGGTGACTTCGAAGGACCTTTCGGTGATGGACATGACTGCCATTACTCTATGCCAGGAAAATAACATTCCTGGTATGTATTATAATTCATCATAGATCACTGTTCTTCCAAATAGCTGAATAACATAAAGCAATGCAAGCTGATGATATTTGCTTAGAATATGAACTGAACCAATGATTATTTGCTTCCTCTTGCAGTTGTTGTCTTCAATCTAACGAAACCGGATAACATATCGAAAGCCATAAAGGGCGAGAGAGTCGGGACATTGATCGGAGGAAAACGAAACTCAATGGTAGTAAGTACATGATGATTATGCTGGTATCGGACCATCCAGTCAGTAAGTGCTCATGAGTAGGGATTTGAAACTTTATAAACTCTTGTGGCTTTACTTTTGGTTTTCCCAAAAGGCTTTATATCAATAGAGATCTATTCTTTGTTTATAAACTCATGATCAATCCTAACAATTCTCCCCTTGAACAAAGTACACCATAGAGTCTCCCTTAAGGCCTATGAAGTCCTCGAATAGTCTTCCATTAATCGAGGCTCGACTCCTTCTCTAGAGTCCTCGAACAAAGTACACCCTTTGTTAGACACTTGAGTTACTTTTGACTATACCTTTGAGACTCACAACTTCTTTTTTCGACATTTGAGGATTCTAAGGGCATGACTTTGATACCATATAACAATTCTTGTAACCCTTTGAGAGATTTGCCCATTTCGTGATAATTCCCTACACTATTTCATCTATATTATAACATGACATCGGACCTTAGATGGACAAAGGCCGAGTCCCTCTCATTTCACCTTATTCAAAATGTAAACAATATGGTTTAGAGGTGATTATGGTTGAATATAGGTGAGGAAGAAGGGTGTGATGGTGGATTGTGCATCTGTTTGGAGTGGTGGCAGAGATTTGAGTTATCCCAACAATTGCTTTAAGCCTTGGACATGGCTTCTGATACTCACCTACTATGAATCAGGTACTCATGTACTGCCTCAAGTCCTCACATGTATAGCCACCCTCCAACTCACCTTCCTTGCTTTGGTCGCAAATTTGACACTATTAGGCTCTCACATGAGAAAAGGAAAGGAGGTGGGTCAGATTTGTTTTCATTTTTTCCTTCAAAATTTGCTTCACTTATATTCCTTTAAACTTAATCCATCTAAGTTCTTGATATCTGAGTATTTCTAGAGAGTTTCTTTCAAATTATACGTTGGTTCGATAACCACGAGTTTCGTGGGTTAGGTTGAATTGGATCAAGTTGAAATCTTTTTAAAAAACTCTATTGTTCTGATTGTAATTGTTTTCAACTTTAATAATTTTTATTAAACAATAAACTCGACCCAATCAAACTATAAAATATTTATGTTTGATTAGTTTGAGTTATCTGTATCATTTATTCAAAAAAATATTAATATAAATAGATTCAATTAAGATTTATCGCTTAATTTCAATATATATTTTTAAAATATTTTAAAGAGATAGCCGAAAAATAATATGAAATTAAATAAGTAATTTAATTAAAAATATTTAATATAAAGTTTATGAAGTATATTAAGGTATTGGATAATTTTTTATAATGTTATTTTATTTTTAAAAGGAACTGAAGAGATCAGACAAACACTTTCCGTCGCTTTGCTTTCAATTCAATCTTCACAATTCCATTTTTGCCCTTCTGATTTACTTTTTTTCTTTTTTTCTTTTTTTGTTAAATAAATAAAAAAAGTTTTTGGAAAGTAATTTCATACGTAGCGATAGGTGCAAACAAACCCCTCCCACCACCGTCACCATGCATGACGTTCATCACAAACAACCTTTGCAACTGCCACCTGTCACTCTCCTGTTGGTCTGTTACTTTTTTTTAAATCTCAGTCCTCCTCATACTCTAATTATCTAATTTCCTTCCATGTTCACCTAATTCTTAAAAAAAAAAAAAAAAAAAAAAAAAAAACATTTTTGAATCTGAAATTAAGTAGGCTTCCTCATCATGAAAGGTCGACGAGCCTTCACTACTAATACGACGCCTTCAATGTCCGAGGCTGAATTCTTAACAGTAGTGGTGCTATCAATGTCATTAACAAAATCTAATTGTGCTTCGAGAAAGTTATCGAGGATGATGGCTAGATTAAGTGGGAGAGAGTGTCGCAACCTCAATGAAAGAAAGTAGGTTGTCACCCCACACGTCAAGACAGACAAGGAGCGACCCTCAAGTAGGTCCATCCAACCATGTTTAGGCCAAGAGTGACAAGTGCCAAAAGTGTGCATTGGAAATAAATTGAGACATACACAAAGTTCGAGAAAACGAGGTGACACGAATATCGAAATAAGCTCGAAGAGAGTCAAGTAGGATTCCAGGCCATGACATCAAAAATCGAGATTTTAGATATGAGTTTCGGCATGCAACTCGAGAATTAAATTTGTCGATAAGAAAGATGAAAGCTCACTAGAGTATTAGTGGAAGCGATCAATAATCAAAATCCATTATCTCGATACGTTGTATATAGCTTTATACAATATGCCTAATAAATAAAAATTATAATTAATAATGGTGTGAGTTAGGTGATGAAAGGGTCCTTAAACCTTAAATCATCCAATCATCTTCAGCCTTACTTTCTCTATAAGAAATAATAAAAAAAAAAATATATATATTTATATAAATACATAAATAAAAATTAGGTGCTTTTGAGTATCCATCCCATTTTTGAAGTTATATGCCAACTTACTTTGGTCAACAACAAACATAATAATCAAAGTTAGAAAAATGACAACGAAGGGTAATCTAATTCCCAAAAATTACCAGTTTTGAGCTAAGATTTAAGAAAATAAAGATTCATTTATTGTCTTAATTGAGCTAATTTAATGAACTTAATTATCACTAACTTGTATCTAATAAGTTACTGATAATCTAACATAAATGAAATTGATTTTTATGTATAGGATGTCCCTAAATTTTTAATTTGAAAATTGGGTTTTAAAAAAATGTCGAACAAAATATGTGTTTTAAAGTTTAGAGATCAAATAGACACAAATATAAATATGGAATATCGATGAAGAAGCCTTGACAGGTTTATATGTCGTGTCCTTAAACTCACTCTTGGGCTCCCTCATCTCTCAATTCAGCTGAGTTGAAGCTCCGGTACTTTCTCTTAGAAGTGCTAACATGCCTAGTTCTTAGGCTTTTGAGCCATAAAAGAAGTGTTGATCATGTTGCTTTTTTGAGTTCATTTCTTTTTTTTTTCCTTCTCTGTGCTTCAAGTTATGACTGAGTTGATTGACAACTCTTGCTTAACAGCAACCTCAACCACTTCTCTAACTACTGTTCCTTTAACTCTAATTATTCTACACCATCATCTCTCCCGTTGGAGTTCTGAGTTTTGAGTTTTGACCACTTTTTCTGTCTATATATTCTCTGGTTTTTACTTTTTGCTTCTGCTTTGGCTTGTTTCTCTCCAGTTTTGTAGCTTTTTTGTGTCTGTTTTGTTTGTAGTTCAGATGCTTTAGAGCGGTTTTTGTGTTCAAAACGGAGCAATGGGCACTTTCCCGCTTGAAACCAGACATAGATTGCCTGCATCCATGTAAGTTTTTGCTTTCTTCTTCATAGCTGCGTTTGTAAAGGATGGATTTACTTCATAATCCAATTGGTACGAGCCTGTCATGCGTGACAGGCGATACGTAATGGGTCAAAATGAACGATATCTACTAGCAGAGGATTTGGTCTGTTATAAATGGTATTAGAGCCCGACACTAGAGTTGGATTGTGCCAGTGAAGACGTTGGCCTCTAAGGAAGGTGGATTGTGAGATCCTACGTCGGTTGGAGAGGGAAACAAAACATTCTTTATAAGAGTGTGGAAACCTTTACCTAGTAGACACGTTTTAAAACTGTGAAGCTGATGACGATATGTAACGGGTCAAAGCGGATAATATCTACTAGTTGTAGGCTTAGGCCTTTATAAATGATATTAGAGCCCGACTAGGAAGTGTGCTAGCCAGGACACTGGATCCCTAAGGGGGGTGGATTGTGAGATCCCACATTGGTTGGAGAGAGGAACAAAGCATTTTCATACGGGTGTAGAAACCTCTTCCCAGTAGACGCAATACATAACGGGCCAAAACAAACAATATCTACTTGTGGTGGGCTTGGGTTATTACAAATGGTATTAGAGCCAAACACTTGATCATGAATCAGGAAGGACGCTGAGCCCTCAAGAGGATGGATTGTGAGATCTCACATCAGTTGTAGAGTAAAATGAAACATTTATTTTTATAAGGATGTGGAAACCTCTCCTTAGTGACGCGTTTTAAAACTGTGAGGCTGACAACGATACGTAACGAGCTAAAACAGACAACATCTACTAGCGGTGGGCTTGGATTGCTACATTTTCATGTCTAGTGATATACCTTAATTGCCGTGAAACTAGCGATTACTTTTGGATATAAACATTCTGACATCAAATCTATTTTCTTAATGGCATATTCCAAAAGAAAACTACAAAGAAGCAAAGTGAAAGATCTGGAAAAGCCCTTAAACTTATCAACCCATGAAAGATTTTCAAGATGCAGGCTTCCTCTCTTGAAACTTGTTCTTCTGTTTGCTGTTTCCGGCACTTTTGTCACACTTTTATACTCTCCTGATGTAAACAACCACATATCAAACACAGCTTCTGGGTATGCTTCCTTTTCTTTCTGCTATCAATTCTGCAGTTTCTAGATCCAAAACATGCTGAAACTTGCTTATTTTCAGGCAAAAGTTTGTGAATAGGTGGATATGGGGCGGCCTGGATCTTCGATATGTATCTCGTCTCGACATCGTTTGGAACGATGTTGTTGAAGTTCTTGATAAGTTAGGAGACAAAAAGGAGTATCAAGGCATTGGGCTCTTGAACTTCAACAAGAGTGAAGTTATCAATTGGAAGCAGCTCAATCCTGATGCAGAACACACTGAGCTGCGTTTGGACTATGCTGAGGAAAATGTGACATGGGATTCCTTATATCCTGAATGGATTGATGAGGAAGAGGAAGCTGAAGTTCCCATTTGCCCGTCTTTGCCGAAGCTACGAGCGCCCGGGAAACGACTCGATTTGATCGTCGTTAAACTTCCTTGTCGAAAGGAGGGCAATTGGTCTAGAGATGTAGCTAGGCTTCACTTGCAGCTTGCAGCTGCTAATGTTGCAGCCTCTGCTAAAGGAAACTATCCTGTCCATTTGCTTTTCATCACAAACTGCTTCCCTATACCGAACTTGTTTGCGTGCAAGGACCTTGTTGCACGCCGTGGTAACGTGTGGCTGTACCGACCAAACTTGAGTGTGATCCGAGATAAACTCCAGCTCCCAATTGGTTCTTGTGAACTTGCACTTCCCTTAAAGGGCAAAGGTCAGTCCTATTACACAACTTTGCTCCACAAACACTTTTTTCTTCAACTAATCTAAAAACTTATCTTGCAAACACAGAGGTTGCATACTCAGGTAATGTGCTACGAGAAGCATATGCTACAATCCTCCATTCAGCTCATGTTTATGTCTGTGGAGCAATCGCAGCAGCACAAAGCATTCGAATGTCGGGGTCAACACGGGACCTCGTGATCCTTGTCGACAAGTCAATCAGTTCATATCACAAGAGTGGCCTAGAGGCAGCTGGTTGGAAAATAAGAACAATGGAAAGAATCAGGAATCCAAAAGCAGAGAAAGATGCATACAATGAATGGAACTACAGCAAATTCAGGCTATGGCAGCTAACAGATTATGACAAGATCATCTTCATCGACGCCGACCTTCTAATCTTTCGAAACATCGATTTCTTATTCGGAATGCCAGAGATCTCAGCAACAGGAAACAATGGCACCCTCTTCAATTCAGGAGTAATGCTCATAGAACCATCAAATTGTACATTCAAACTCCTAATGGATCATATCAATGAATTCGAATCCTACAATGGAGGTGATCAAGGATACTTAAATGAAGTGTTCACATGGTGGCATAGAATCCCAAAACACATGAATTTCTTGAAGAACTTCTGGATGGGTGATGATGAAGAAACAAAACAAATGAAAACAAGGCTATTTGGGGCAGACCCACCAATCCTTTATGTTCTTCATTACTTGGGAAACAAGCCATGGATGTGCTTCAGAGATTATGACTGCAATTGGAATGTGGACATACTCCAAGAATTTGCAAGCGATGTTGCGCATCAACGATGGTGGAAGGTCCACGACCAAATGCCGGAGCTTCTGCAGCAATTTTGCTTGTTGAGATCGAAGCAAAAGGCCCAACTGGAATGGGATAGAATCCAAGCGGAGATTGGGAATTACAGCGACGGCCATTGGAGGATCAAGGTTAAGGACAAGAGGTTGAAGCGATGCATTGACACAGTGTGTTCTTGGAAAGGGATGTTGAGGCATTGGGGCGAGACGAATTGGACTGATGATGAGCCTTATACGCCGACGCCGCCGGCTATCAAGGCCGCCGCCCTCTCTGTTTGAACAATTTTCCGCCATTTTTGAAGATTCTGGTTGATGGGGCTGTGAAATCTTGAGCCGGAATCTTGAAGAACCGAATCAAAATTTTCTCTTTTTTAACGTTGGATTTGAAGTGGATTTAGATTTAATTGATTTCTTAAGAACGATTGATATCACTCCAGAGTTGGATCATGGGTTCTTAGTTTATATGACGAGAAAGAAAAAAAAAATGATTTCTTTATTCCAAAAATACAAATTTAGTTATTCAACTATACATACTTCATAAATTTATCAATTTTTTAAAAATATGTAAAAGTTTGAAATATTTATAAAAAGTATATATATATTCGCAAGAAGCGATTTATTTGAAATTATATTGAGTTAAAAGAAAATCATATTCTCGTGTTTTTTTTCTCTCATCTATTCATAAAAGTGGTTATCGAGCCAACTGCCGTAATAAATGTGTTGAGCTCAATGTAGCTCGACCGATAGAGAATTGCGTCTCGACTCGTATGCAATTTTTTAATTTTTTTTTAATGGACGATATTAGCACGTAGACATTTTTATTTATTTAAATTAAACTATTTTTTAGCTAAGTTAATTTAGTATATAAATATTAAGAGAATGAAGTTCACGAACAAACTGGTTATAAGTTTGAGTGGTTTCCTTATTTGTTTTATAATTTGCCCTAAAAATTATATGTTTAGAAAAAAAAAAAAAGAAAAAAAGGAAAATATATCGGGGGAAAAGAAAACTGTGTTCGCCCCCAAAGTCTTTGAACCCTTTTTCGCCCATAGCTACTACCTTACTCTTCGTCTTCCTCCCACTCACTCTGCAACACAAGATGCTCAAAATATCCGCTCTGAAGATTTAGCTTAGCTTGCCTACGCCTGTATTCTTCTTCAATCATATTCTAGGGTTTACACCGTCGCCGCTTTCTGCCGGAAGCTTTCTTCTTTCATGTGAGTTCTATGTTTCTCTCTTCCTTTAATCTTCTGCGATTTTGTTGTGTTCATGTTTTCAGTTCTGGGTTTTGATCTCTTACTCGTCTTGTCTGGGACTGTATGTGCTGCGAGGTTCTTCCACTTCAAAGTTTGGACCTTTCCGATTATTACTCCCCATGTCCCCAACGCAAATAAATACGCGCTTCTTGGTTTTAGTTTTGCTTTCGCCACTGTAGTTTTCTTCTGTGCTCGAGATTGTTTGTGATTGGGCGTATCTTTGGGAATCGATGACTTGGGATTGAGTTTTTTTTCCCCTTCTCCTGAAGTATTTCAAATGAGAGATAACTTGTGAGAAACGGAGCTGATCTTTCCTTAGGAGTTTATTAAACTTGCATACGGCTCTAGTTCAACTGGATTTGTAGGCGAAGCTAAGTTGATATAGACTGAATAGTTGATGAGTCGAAGATGATCGTTTGGTGGCCAAAAAGAATGCTATATTTTGTTCTACCGTTGACAAATGCTATACTATGGAGTTGATAGAGCTCTTATAGTTTATTTGATTGTCGAAAGTGATTTTTCTTAATGAAGAAAAGGTTAAGTGGCTTGATTTTTGCCATGGAATTTAACCACACGTGTACTGCCTGATGGCTCTCCCACCAACGTAACACTTGTAGTTCAATTGAAAGTCCAGTCTCTTTTAGCATAGTTCTCAGTTCAGTCTCTTTTAGCTACTGCTCCAGATGCGACCGTGACATTCCTATTTGGCTCCAAGTATTGGACATTGCCCCCCTTTTTGTTACCGTTGAAGGGAAGTTTCTTGATTGTTGTTTTAGAAGGATGGCGAGGGCGCACATGATTTTTTAGCCTCTTTTAGTCTTTTTTTACAAGTGGAAGTCCTAATGCCTGGATGGTAGCTCGTGGAAGGATTTATTCAAATAATTGCATTTAAAGGAAAATTGTTTCTAAGAACATCTCTTAGGTGCATACATGATTAAAATGAAGGCCGAGTCATGTGCAGATTTTTTGTGCTTATTAGTGCTGCAATGGATTCCTTTCCTTGATGTTGACATATACAGTAGAGTGGAATGCTCATGCCTTGTTTATTTTATGATAGAGGGAAATATATGCACTTTTGAAGACCCAGCCTTGGATAGTTGGATGTTAATACTTAATGTAGTAGTACTCATTCTGGTCATGGAAAGTTGTTGGACAATTGGATGGAATTTCAAGGTTGGGATGAACCTGCTTGAATTTTGTTTAACAAGACTCTGGTTCGTTGGATTATATCCTTTCTTCTTAGTAAACACCCTCCAAAAAAAAAAAAAAAAAAAAAAAAAAAAAAAAAAAAAAAAAAAAAAAAAAAAAAAAAAAAGAAAGAAGGAAAAGGAAATTGAAAGTATCTATAAGAAATAGAAGGCTAAGTTTATCTTGGCAATCTAGAATTGCTCTTAGAAACACTGTGGATAGACTTCATTTGGTGTGTTGTATACAAATTTTAATTGGGGAATGAAATTATATTGATATTTCTTTTAGGATATTGTATGACAGGTCTATGTAATTAAAATGTTTGTAGTTTGATTGATTTTCTGTCGTAAGTTGTAAATTAGATATTATTATCATTTGTATTGCTTATTAAAACTTTAGGGTGAATCTTAAATGATTTAGCTACTGGTTGTATATATTTTTTATTTTACCTCTTGCTTAAGTCGTAGGTTCTTTTTCCTGCCAAAATTGATTAGACCCCAACATATTAGGTGCCTTGATAGATGTCCTCTTCTGTAGTTAATGTATCACGTTGAGTGTGCTAATGTCAAAATATAATTTTATGCAGTATCTTCACGTGGTTGGTTGATGGAAAGATTAGCAAGGGTGTACAATAATAACTTATGGCAATGGCTTTCTGTTCCACCACAAGAGCAATTGGGCATTAGCACAAATTCATGGAACTAAGTCACCTTTTGTATACAAGCTTGTTTCGAAGGACCTTTATGAGAAAACTATAGCTCATCAAACACATTGGGAATGAATCATGGATTGCCTGAGTTGTGATAAATTACATGGTGAAGGGAGGGATGTATTCATCATAAAATTGACTTTAGAACTTAATAGTCCTTGAAGAGTACATATGGATTGTGTGAAGAGTTACCAAGAGTAATAGTTCAATTGGTCTATCCTTATGGATGTTGTCCACTTCGAGCATTCTATTTGTACCCTGAATGACAATGTAACTTGCGAAATGAGCAACTCCCATCTACTTTTGTGACCATTAAGTGGCTTTGTCATGGTTTGCTACATTGTCTATCCCTTGTACTAATAGTGACTAATGTTCCATACCTTATCATTTTTTGATCTTCAAGCAACCAAAGCGACAAATATGGTGGATAAAATGCGGGGGGTTGATCTCCACAAGAAGAGAAGCCATGTTTGCCACTGAGTTTTTCTAACTGGAGGACATAATTTTCACTTTGAAGTTTGGAGGAAAATTTAAGTGAACAAGCCTCTTCGGTGACGGTGTTGAACTAAGAGGTCATAAGGATGAGAGAATTTTGGGTTAGAGACAGAGAGTGTGAAGGTGTTTCATCTCGTACGATTATTTTTGCTCGATTTCCATGTGAGAGTTAATTAAAGACAATGGGAAAAATCTTGTTGGTCTATGGTATTCGAGCCGATGGAGTGGTTCCATTGAGGAAGTTGGTTGACGTTGGTCATGGTGGTTGAAGAAAAAACAGGCACTTAGAAATTAGGGAGAGAGCATTTTGAGGATCTAACCGTACAAAGCAATTTTCGATATAGAAATAACTGCTTAGTGATAAGAGGAGAGAGCATTTTGAGTGATCTAACTAGGGATGTTCAAAGGAATTCCAAAAATCAATCTGACTGATGAAACCGACCAAGTTGGTCATTGTTGGTTTTGCATTATACAAAACTGACTAATTGGTTGGTTGGAGTTAAAAAAAAATGAAAACATCACTGACCAGTCGATCGAATAATACAAGAATAATTAATAGGAGAGAAAATATGGGTTCATTGTTACTTCCATTTCTCATTAATGCTATTATTGATGAGGGTTTTGAAAAGAAGAGGGCATCGAGGATTTAAAAAATAAACGATATTTTCCCATCATCTTTCTCCTCTCCTCCTACACGACTTCTCTTTTCCTAATTCGACTTCTCTTTTCCTAATTTCTCATTTTCTTCTCTCTTCTCCTCTCTCCACTTTGTCTTACCTGTTCTCTCTCTTCTCTTCCCTCCTCCAATTGGCCACTGACACCAACACGTTGCTATCGATGAACACCTGAGTTCTAACATAAGTCAATTTATGCTCCTATTCTAGTAAAGGATGTAAGTAAGCTTTTTATGGAAACAACAAAATGAACGTTAAATATTTTGGGTACACTAAGGATCATTCTTTAGTCCACTTTTTCAAAAGTTTGCTATGATGTTTCTTTTAAGAATACCATAACACGTGAGGGTAGAGGTTCAAATTTACGACTTGAGCTATGCTCATGTTGGTCATGTCCTTTCAATGTTAGTCTAGGTTTGTACGTTTTTAGGAAGATAGGGTGATCTGTCATGAAGCTTCTAAGTTGTTATAGTGGACTTAGCAGAAAAAAGTGATTCCTTTGCTTGTTTCAGTAAGTACTTTTAAGAAGGAATGAATTGAATCTAGGGATCACATGAGCTTTGGCTTTTAAAAATGCAGTCAAGAGTCTTTACGTCCATTTTAATTCTTGTTTCGGTTGTGTAGGTTCCTGCGGAATTCGATCCTTTTGCAGCATCAAACAATGTGATGCTTAGGAATTATTTGTTTGGCATGGAAGATTATGTGAAACTTGAAAATCCATGGACACCTATGCTTACTTGATTTTTTTACCCTTCTATCTGGATGAAACATAAGTATGGCATAACTTCAATAATTTGTGTATAGGAAGGTTGTAGGGTCTAGTTTCATCAACATGAAGAAGTCTTTGATTGAGTGTATGAAAACTTGTGTGTACGGAAACTGTTTGTAGGGTCTGGTTTCATCAACATTGCATATGGTCTTTGATTGTGTGGAGCAACTCGTGCTTATGGAAACTTTAGGTCACAGTATAATGTCCTGCCGTGCCTCTCTTTGTGTGCTTGCTTGATTTTTCTCGTTGCGCATGATATTAATGATATCTTAGTTAACACGGAATGTCATTGCTTTTATATCCTTGGAATTTCTCATCCCGATGGGTTTTTTTTTTTCTTCATATATCTGGCTAAACTTTTTATAGTGATCACAAGTTGGAATTCTCCAGCTTCTCGCAAATAACTTTTCCTTGAAGTTGTTCCTACAAGCTTCTTTTGATTGAAATGCATCTAACATTTTTCGAAGTATTGGTTGATAGGTAGCAGTATTTAGCGGCAGGAAATTTGGTTATATTGTGAAATATTAGTTATTTGTGAATTATGTAACATAACAACTGAGGGAAGATATAAAGCTCCTCCACTAATATATAACTGATTACAAGTGAGAATATTCATGCTAAATACAAAAGGCTTGGGAAATGAAATGTTGTTTTTTGTTGTTCTTGCGAGATGATTTTATTACATATTGGGTTTCTCTTCTACCTGCAAGTGGAGGGATTCCATCTCATTTAGTGTTAATGTGCCAGATGATTCCAATTAAGGTCAAATTGTCTCTGAATTTCGATAGGGTTGTGTGGCCTAATCTATTATTTTCCAAATATCAACCAATTCAATATATATTATATGTATGACTTGAACTTGACAACAAGGTGGTGAGGACTCGTCATTAAAATTAACTTATTTTCATCCTGCCTTCAGATTTTACTGTATCCAGGAGAACTTCCTTATTGTTATGAGTGGAAGTGGCAGAAAACGCTCGTCAAAGTGGGATTTGAGAGAAGAATCAAGACCTGGTTGGATTTCTCCCGAACTTGCAAGTGATGATGGTTCCAAGCGGTCTGGTATGGAGACCACCAATACTGTTTCAAAATCCAAGAAAGATTGGGGATTGCTGTCAAAGGAACCTTTATCTGAAACCAGAGATTCACATAAGGAGGATTACACTAATAAAGGCTATAATAAAAATATGGAAGGCACTGCTGAGTGGGATGCTGACAAAAGCTACAGCACAAGAATGTCTCCTGGTTTAGATGGATGGAGAAGACATAGCTCTAATCCGTCGGATAGAAATGATTGGAGCAGGTCAGTGAGGTTAGATACACTGGTATTAGCTGAGCTTATGTTAACATCATCATCATAAAAGTATTCAATCTCAAATTTTGTTGCTGAAGTCGTATTTCTTGATGAGTTATTCAAATCTCTGAAGTTTGATCCTGAATTTTCATGTTTGTATATGATCCATTTTGTTCATATGCATTAGTTATCTGGATTTATGTTATTTCTATTAGGATTGGTTAGTTTTGCAATTTCATTATTCTTTAAACTTGCTTGTTTTAATTGTGTTTCAGGGGTAGGAGTAGAAGCAGGAGTTGGAGTAGAAGTCGGAGTAGAAGTAGAACTCCTCCTCGTAGTTTTAAGCGGGACTCAGGATTTCATGATAGGAACAGAAACAGAACCCGTGTTTCAACTCAATTGTGCAGAGATTTTGCTTCTGGCAGATGCAGGCGAGGTGGTGGCTGTCCATTTCTTCATCCAGAAAATCAAAATCTGGATGACAGCTGGGAAAGTCGGAACAAGAAGGGGGGCCGATCCGTAAGATCAACTCCCCATGATTTTAGGGACTATTCCAGGAGCGGAAGGCCAGCTGCTCCTTGTACCGACTTTGTGAAGGGAAGGTGTCATAGGGGAGAATCTTGCAAGTATCCTCACGACAGTGGATTTCATGAACTATCACGAGGTTCTTCAAATGATATTAGTAGAGACAGGGAAAATGATAGGAGTAAAGAAGCATATTTATCACGTGGTGAGCGTGAACCTTCCAGTAGCAGTCTTGTTATCTGTAATTTTTTTGCTGCTGGAACTTGTCGTAATGGAAAAAATTGTAAGTATTCTCATCAGAGCCAGCCATGTGCGAGTCTAGAGAGGAAGTCAAGTGCTGATAGATGGGAACAAATCGAATGTTCAGATGGTAGGGAACGGTTGTGGGATGGCTCAAAATCAAATGAGTTGGCCAGTGGTTCAGATTTTACTCAGTTGAGAGAGGAAAAAAACAAACAAATTGCTAGTCAAGAATCAAGATATACATGGCCTTCGGAACTAAAAGGAGGTCATGGTTTGAATAACGAGAGCAAAATTCAGTGGGATCAAGCTGCTAGCATCAAGGCAGTTCAGAACAGCAAGAATGATATCATTCTGAGCAAGCCTGAGGATACTGGTGGTTGCATAGGCACTTCTGATTCTAGAGGTCACAGAAAGTGGCCAAGTGATGATATGGAGATGTCTCCTGATTGGCACTTCCCGGTGCAACCATCGAATCACGTGGTGAAAGGAGATTGCAACATTATTCTGGATTCTGGCTCTCAAACTTCTATGGCTTTAGCCACTCTCAGCCATGCGATAGTTCAAGAAGCTTTGGCTAAGAAGCAAGACGTTACCATAGAGCCTCTGACAGTTGATAATACTCATTTTAGGCAAAACCATAATTTAACAAAAGATGTTACTATGGCATCAGTATTCAATGATAAGATAACAATTGACAAAACTATTGCTTCACATGCTGAAGGCAATCCTTCTGGTAACATTGTCCTTGGACAAAAAATGGCATATCACCCCGACCATCCAGGCGGAAGTGTAATGAATCCGAACGTTGCAGATGGCATTTTCAAAGTCAAACCACGAGAGGATGATAGGAGCATGCCAGGGATTAATCCTGTAACAACTATCACTCCGAACATGGTAACCAGTGACCAAATTACCCAATTAACTAACCTTTCCGTTTCTCTAGCTCAATATTTTGGAAATGTGCAACCATTGCCTCAATTATATGCCTCCCTTAGTACACATAATGTGTCAGAAATACCTTCCTTCCCTTATTCTGATGCACCAGTCGGTGCTTTGGGTACGTTGATGAAGACAAGTCCTATAATTGAATGCTCGAAGCAACATGACTCTACTGTCTGCAATAGCTTAGAGGTGAAGAAGCTTGAAGCCACTAAAATACCTTCAGACTCTTTACTGAATTTCACTGGACAGAAAAGCATGATAGATGCGAAGGATGAAGTACAGATACCAATTTTTCCTCTATCATCCGATCCTTCTAACAAGATTGCCATCTCTGCAAAAGAAACACTGAATGAAAGTGATGCAATAAATCATGGGAAGCGAGCCGCTGAAGGTGAGGCTAACAACAAGAAGAATGGTGATGGGGATAATGAGAACAGGACTGAAGCAGGGGCGAATGAGGATTCTGAAGAGAATGATACTGCAGAAAATGCGAATGGAAATGATGGGGTCCATGACAAGAAGAAAGGTAAGGATACTAAGGGAATTCGTGCTTTTAAATTTGCACTCGTGGAGTTCGTCAAGGAGCTTCTAAAACCTACATGGAAGGAAGGTCATATCAGCAAAGATGTTTATAAGACCATAGTCAAGAAAGTGGTGGACAAAGTGACAGGTACCCTGCAGGGGGGTCATATTCCTCAAACGCAGGAGAAAATTGATCAGTATCTTTCATTTTCAAAATCAAAGCTCACTAAACTTGTCCAGGTAACAAATTTCTTTTCAACTTTCTCTTCCTATCATTCTTCTTTTCTATTTTATGCTTTGCACTGGACATGGACTATTTTGTTTCGTTTATCATATATATATATACACACACATTTCATCTTACTTTAACAGTACTAACTGCTGCTTTTTATAATTTGTTATTCCTTCTGAAGGCCTCATATGTTCTTTTAATAAATAAATTAGATGCCTTAATTACGCCAGTGTAGCAGCTCTGGGAGGACCATTAGCATTAAACATGCTTTATCAGCATTGTTTTGCTTATTTACTTAATAACCCTTCCCGAAAACTTTCCATCATCTCCTCGGTTATTTTTTTGTGAGAGTGCTACACTTTTTTGATATTTTTTTAAAGTTCTTCTCCCTCCTGTCCTTATTATAGCTGGGTATTCTATTTCCAGTTTGTTTGGGGCGGTCGTTCGTAGTCTCTTAATCCATCATAATCCTTTCTTTTTTTTGTTAGTAATTGTATCCTTGTTTGATTCTATGTTTGTCCCTTTCCTAGACTTGTTATTTCTTTTCTTCTTTTTGGAAGCTTAAAATTTAAAATCTCGAAGAAGGTTCATTTTTTTCACTTGGTCAGTAGCCTTGGGAAGGATTAGCACTTTAGACATTTTGTGGAGATCCTCCAAAAAGAAGAGTTACCTAAAATCTAAAAACAGGTGGTTGTTTTAGATAAGTGCATTGTACGCTGCCAAGTTTTGGTTGCACAACAGGTGGTTGTTTTAGAAAGCAGCGTAACTGGTCAAAGTGGGATGCGAGCATTGGTTTTAGGCTAATTATTTGTAATGAAAACCATTTTTTTCTTTTGGTATTTCTTAGTTAGTGAGTGTTAGAGCACCCACTTGTGGAATGAGTACATATCATGTTCTGCTGTTTCTTAAATTTATTTTACATTCATATGATTAGTACAAGTCCATTATGAAATGTGAATAGATAACATATAATTCACAAATAATTAGGAATCTTAATTCTTACGGTTCTTGATCCATTCCAACACACAATGCACATTAGGTTAGAATAATCATTCACATTTTAATTAACAATCTGACTGCATTTTTTTTTAAGATTGATGAAAAGTTGGAGCAATACAAGAATGGTCTAACCCCTCAACAGGTAAAGGAGTACAGAACTTTATGATCTCGCAGCATTTTATAGTACAAGTGCAATGCCTGAAGAAAGGGAACTCAATTGAAGCCTGCTATAACAACCCAAGCCCACCGCTAGTAGATATTGTCCGCTTTGGCCTATTACATATCTCTGTCAGCCTCACGGTTTTAAAACGCGTCTACTAGGGAAAGGTTTCTACACCCTTATAAGGGATGTTTCGTTCTTCTCTCCAACCAATGTGGGATCTCACAATTCATCCTCCTTGGGAGCTCAGCGTCCTCGCTGGCACACTGCTTGGTGTCTAGCTCTGATACCATTTGTAACAGCCCAAGCCTACCACTAACAAATATTGTCCATTTTAGCCCATTACGTATCGCCGTCAGTCTCATGGTTTTAAAACACGTCTACTAGGGAGAGGTTTCCACACCCTTATAATGTATGTTTTGTTCTCCTCTCCAACCAATGAGAGAGAGATCTCACATGTTACAATGAAACATAAGCTAAATTCAGCAACTATGTGGTTCTACCACAGTTTAACAAACTTTTCTTATTTGAAGAGGACAACCCCTGGATTAGGATTGAAGGAAAATATTATCTCAAGAAAGGCAATATCTACTGTGAGAAACTTAGTGAAGCATGCCAAAAAGTTGAATAACCGACAAACAATGCTTACTAGGGCCTTAATTTTGGGAGCATTATTTGCTTGGCTGGGTATTTAGGTACTTGAATTCTCAAAATGATATTAACAGATTCATCCAACATGGCTTTCATTCATCCTAAGGTTGGTTTCTCCGTTACGACATTTGCTCAAGAGCTTCGAAAGAGTTGCAAACCCAAGTCTGTTATTGTGATTACTCAGATTGAAGAGCCATTGTTTGATCCTTTCCTTAGGATAGAGGCCCCTTTCCCTTTTGTCCCTTGGTTGTTTAATTGGCTTGGTTGTTCAGTTTCCTACCAATAATATTAGCTTAGCAATACTAACGATAAAAATGAAAATAAAGCGTTTTGCTAATGCATTGAATAATGTTTATCAGGTTGTCAAGAAAGAAAGAATTATTCTCAATTTGTTCTCAAAGCAACATTTATTATTGTTGGTTGATATAGCAAAAATGGCGCCCCATCCTTGTTGCGAGACAAGCGATGCTGCCAGAGACTATTATGTGCGACAGTATGTTTTTCAGCTATCATGGGAATCATACTGTGAAATAATCTTGGACCATAATTGAAGCTTAGCACTATGTGCCATCCCCGCATCGATGTCCTAATGAAACTCACAAAGCATTAGAAGACTTTGTTTGATGTTTGAGCTCACCTGAATCAGTACAAGTAAAATCTAGCATTACGGAGCGAAATACGATATACTGAGGCTCTTAGACCGACTGAATTTAATGCACTTTCTTACATCAACTGATGGTTATATCTAAAGTGCAGTATAAAATCCATTAGAGGGTCGTGCAAAACTTGACTGGAACGCATCGAACCTGTGCAGCAGTCTGCTAATAGGAAAAAAAAACTTGAAAAGGGTGACTTGGTATAGCTATCTTAGGCTTTTTTTGAAGATCCATGTGAAAGCACATCGTTTTATGGTCATTGTTCTTATGTTTGTGGCATATTCATTCTTGATAAAGTGATGTATTTGCTTCAGTCTCTTTTAAGAGTTCTGTTGCTGATCTTTCCAGATTAGAATTCTCTATGTTTCTTCCTCTATGTTCGAGTGGAGACTGTTATTTCTGTATAAAACGTTTTGTCAATGTCTCTTGTTTCCTTGTCAGGCATACGTGGACAGAGTTCAGAAGACGAGTTGACGAGGCGAGGTTGTCGAAGAACATCGTATTTTTTCTTTTATATAAATCCTGTGTACTAATTTGATAGAATGATGCAGCATTCTGAATGATGTTTATCATGTCTTACTAATGTAGTGTAATGTATGTCCCTATTAGCAGTCTTAGGTACACCTTTCTTCTGCCTTCTGCAAATTTGTTGCTTTTAGTTTGTGCATTCTTCATCTTTTATTGTTGTATGAATGGCTACCACTTTTCCAGGACCTCATTCTTCGCCAAGGCCTTGCAATTTTTTTTTACTTTTTATAAATAATTTTATTTGTTTGTTTGTTTGAGTTGAATCGACTCGGTTCACTTTTTATGTTGTGAAGTCCAGTAACTAATACTATTAAATAAAATAGCGAGATGAGATTTATTGATTAGTAAGCCTATGGTGTTGGTAGGGTCGGGATCGTGGGTGATCCTTTTATAATTGTTATTCTATGTTCCAGGTTTGGAATGGACGATCGTTTTTGTTTCAAATCAAATAATTGTGTTCGTTTCAATTGCTAGAATCAAACGATATGGTATGAAGAATACTTATTTATTTTAAACAACTTAGAATGACACAACGAATGGAAGTGGTGACAATGACTTGGTGTGTCGGAGAAAAAGCGAGGAGGTCGGAGGAGGAAAGAAGGGAAAAGAGAATGGAGGAGGAGGTTAAAAATACGTATGTTAAATGCATATTTACCGAATCGAGTGAATTCAAATTTTCTATCAAATAATCAATATACCCAATATGAATGAGTTTGTGAAGGGTAGAAGAGTGTAAGGATGTGTTAGTCAGAGCACAGATTAGGAGGAGGGGCAGTGGGGTGCACAAATTTTGTAAATTGATATCAATGACTGTAAATGCATGCTTTTCTGTTCCTTTCCCTATAAAAACCTTACCCTTCCATTTTTCTTTGCTCTTTTGGGTTAATTTTCTCTTCCAAAAAGCATCCAACCACTAACAATATGGTGTGGGAAAAGTGGTTAGTCTAAGTACTTAGCTTAGAGGACTCATTTTGACTGAAATAAGAACGGGATTTACCGAAATTCAAATTATTCATAGTCGAGATTAGAACGAACGGTCTTAATTAGTGAATAAGTGTATTTTTTTTCTCTCTAAAGATTTACCTTATCTTTGTTGAAGTCCGAGATAACAGAATCTCAATATAACAATAATATATTTCTACCTTGTTTAGGGCAAAGAAATTGTTAGTAAAGAAACTTGAAAATTGAAACAATAAACGAAAAATCAAATGGGTTTTTAGGTTTTCGATTTTAACATTTTTTTGTTCCAGCAGAGATTGGGAACATGTTGTGTACAAAAAAAGCTAAATTAGTATACCCTTTATGGCCTCCATTTATGTTGACTCCATCACTTGATGGTCCTTGCCCTAAAGTCCTTCCTAACTTTTACAATACAACCAATAAATGGTCAAGTCTTGAACCCTCCTACTCCATATCTAGGGTTTCTCGGGTAAGATTACGTAATTCGTAGCGATCGAGTGTCGGTTTGATCGCAATTATATGGTAAACTCTGTGACATCAGGGATCATGATCTTGAAACTGTTCCAATTGGTTAAAAGCTAAATTTCATCGAGTTTTGATTAGTTAATTATATAATTCGACATCAACATAATAGATTCATCATTGAAGTTTTTTATCCGTATAAATTTCTTCCGTTGAAGAATTATTTATCAATAAAGAAGATGAGCGAACATCTGATTAGTTTGTTTGTGTATTTCATACAAGTTAATAAATATGTTCAAATGTAATGAATTTGAAAGTTTCTTTTTTTAGTTGGACTATTAAAGCTTTGTATAAATTTCATAAACTTCTCAAAATTTTAGCTATAAATTTCGAACAACGAGAACATATTACACACAGATCATTCATGGCGTATAATTCAAACTCATAATTTCTCAGTAGCCCAGTTTAAAACAAACTTCATATTTTCAAGAACAAAACGAAACACAAACCCTAATCAACAAGAACACGAAGCTCAAAAGCGTTACAAAAATAGTCAAACCGAATCGAGCAAGTACACATTTGGAAGCTAATGAAGAACTCATATCACTACAAAAAGTATAAGAACTAGTAGTATAGTGTATGTGTTTGAGGATAATGAAAAAAAGCTTACAAAACCCTAGCTGTGCCTAAAAATGGAGGCTCTGAAAACCCTAGAATGATTGCATTAGGGCATGCGCAAAATTATATGAAAAACATGCCTCTTTTCATATCTTTTCTCAATGATCTTAAAATTTTGAATAAAAAACTAAAAACCCTTTTGATCTCTTGATGATCTTAAGAATTTGAATCTAAAACCAAAAATGCTTTTGATCTCTTGATGATCTTAAGAATTTGACTCAAAAACCAAAAACCCTTTTGATCTCTTGATGATCTTAAGAATTTGAATCAAAAACCAAAAACCCTTTTGATCTCTTGATGATCTTATGAATTTGAATCAAAAACCAAAAACCCTTTTGATCTCTTGATGATCTTATGAACTTGAATCTAAAACTAAAAACCCTTTTGATCTCTTGATGATCTTATGAATTTGAATCTAAAACTAAAAACCCTTTTAATCAATTGATGATCTTATGAATTTGAATCAAAAAACCAAAAACCCTTTTGATCTCTTGATGATCTTATGAATTTGAATCTAAAACTAAAAACCCTTTTGATCTCTTGATGATCCTCATATCTAATTTGGAGTTAACCTAAAAAAATTGATACTTTAAAAGGTGATGACAAAAGAAAGCCCAGCAGATGGGGTAGCAGAAGATGAAGGAATATGGCAAGGCCTTTGATTACTAGGGGCAAAATCTTCCATAAAAAGGCACAAAATAATGTTAGCCCTAGATCACTCCTTTTTCTTCTTTGCCCATCCAAATTTCTTGCTATTTTCTTCATCCCTCTCTTAACCATCTTTTTCACTTCTTCTACCACAAAAAACCCTCTTTCTTTGTGGCCTTTTATAGAATCATTTCAACTTCAATTCCCATACCCTAGTTTTTCTTCACCCCATCACCCTCTTCCATGGAGCCCCATCACCTCCCAAACCCCTCTTCCCATCTCCAATTTTCCGCCATCGACGATCCCGACATTGTTCACCTTCACCATGTTCACGAGCTCAGTTCTATTTGGCCGTCGTTGTTGCCTCATCAACCGCTCCCTACCTCATCCACCCATCTGATGTCAGGCTACGGTATGTTTAAATAACATTACAAGAGTTTGAACACAAGATTTCGTGTTAAATCGTAATTTAAGTGAATTGGGCAGGTAATGATCAAGAAGAGCCAGAAGAAGAGCTTGGTGCTATGAAGGAGATGATGTACAAGATCGCCGCGATGCAGCCAGTCGATATCGACCCATCAACTATTCGAAAACCCAAGAGACGAAACGTTCGAATCAGCGATGACCCACAAAGCATTGCCGCTCGTCTTCGTCGAGAAAGAATCAGCGAAAAGATCAGAATTCTTCAAAGGCTTGTCCCTGGAGGAACAAAGATGGATACAGCTTCAATGCTAGATGAAGCCATTAGGTATGTCAAGTTCTTGAAAAGACAAATCCAATTTCTTCAGTCAACTCAGCCGAGCACCGGCGACTGCGCAGCCGCCGGAGGGTGGCCATTTCCATTCCATAAGGCTAATGCTTCAAACTCCTCGTCCACTTCCATGGAAGCTACTCCAACCATTATGCCATCAGGATGGTGAGCATTAATATCAACCAAATTAAGTGTATGGTTGTGATTAATTACTAATCAATATGTTCGTAATTGTACGTTCAAATAGAATCGTAAGGATAAAACACTACATCATCGACGTTTGAAACAACAATTTGATATGTTATGAACGAAAATCGAAGCTCTAAACGTAATTAAACGATTAAAATCATTGTTGAGTTAAGGGAGGTGGAATAATGATTAGTGTATGCTAAGGTTACGTAGGATCATAATATGATATGTTAAAAAGGGAAGTATCATTTGGAGTGTTGAAGTATGGCAGGAAAGGTTGTTTGGCCGACTCTCCTTCTTGGAATTAACACTGACGTGAGGTCATCTTCAAAATCATTACAATTTTTTTTTTCTTTTTTTCTTTTCATGAATCTCCTCTTTGTCCCTCACAATATAGAATAAAGAGAGACTTAAAAGGTGAAGATTTTCAAGATATGTACTAAAAAGGAATAAGAGAATAAATGTATTGTTTTATGTCATTGTTTTGGTATATAAAAGTGATCTAAAATTCCTACAGAATGTGGTAGGTTCTTTGAAAGTTCGAGTAGGGTCTAAGATCGTTAGGTGTACTGTAACTTATTAATTTTAGCTCGTTGATTTTAATATGTAGTTGTTTTTCTATAATTCGATAGTAAAACTGTGGGATTCTATGTGCGTTGGAAAGGGGAACGAAACATTTTTTTATAAGGGTGTGGAAACCTCTCCCTGGTACATGTGTTTTAAAAAACTGTGAGACTTATGACAATACTTAATGAGTCAAAGTGGATAATATCTGCTAGTGGTGGGTTTGAGCTGTTACAAATGGTTTTAGAGTCAAACATTCCCAGTGAGGACGCTGGGCTCTCAAGGGGGTGGATTGTAAGATCCCATATTTGTTAATGAGGGAATGAAGCATTTCTTACAAAGGTATGGAAACCTCTCCCTAACAAACGTGTTTTAAAAACTGAGGCTGACGACGATATGTAACAAGCCAAAGCGGACAATATCTGCTAGCGGTGGGTTTGAGCTGTTACAAATGATATTAGAGTCAGACACCAAGCGGTGTGTTAGTGAGGACGTTGGGCTCCCAAGTGGGTGGATTGTGAGATCTCATATCGGTTAATGAGGGGAACGGAGCATTTCTTACAAAGGTATGGAACCCTCTCCCTAGCAAACGTATTTTAAAAACCTAGGTTGACGATGATACGTAATAAGCCAAAACGTACAATATCTACTAGTAGTGGGTTTGAGCTGTTACAAATGGTATTAGAGTCCGACACCGGGTGGTATGTCAATGAGGACTCTAACCCCCAAGGAGGGTGGATTGTGATATCCCACATCGGTTGGAGAGGGAAACGAAATATTTCTTACAATGTATGAACACTTCTCCTTAGCAAATGTGTTTTAAGAAATCGTGAGCCTGACAGTGATATGTAACAGACTAAAGTAGACAATATACTAGATAACGGTGGGTTGGGACGGTTTGTTGGTTTTGTTTCTTTAAGATCCAGGTGAGATATGCTTAAGTTAAGGTAGTCAGTATTTATGAATAGTTTCTTCCAATATAATCTACCTTATCGAACACCGGTTGGACGAGTTGAGTACTAAAATACTTACAAAGCTTTTACGATTGAAATATTTAGTTAATCAATATCTACTATTAACGAGCAAATGGAGAACTAGGTGTACACGTGAATTCTATAGAAATTATTACTATATAATGACATTAAATCTAAACATTTTTGTTTGAAATGTCACTTGTCTTCTATAATAATTAATACATTATAATCGCATCATAACAAAAATATTAATTTTAAAGACATGATCACAAAGGGAGCTATCTTTCTCCAAGTGTGCTTGTTTTTATGGTTTTTGCATCCATACGTCTGTAACTATGAAGCACAAGAACATGAAAGAGTATACATAGGATAATCATGAGTGCTCATATGATCATAACGAGTATCTGCATCATGATTATGATCATACTCTTAGAATTGTTTTGGAGACATAACGTGCATTTCAAGTTATGTCGTTCGTATAGTAGATACTCAATGCACTTTGATATGATGTCTTATTCAACGATCTTATATGACTTTTGGTATATAGGAAAATATTGGGTGCAAATTTGAATAAAATTACATTTTGAAAAACCAGTTTTCTTATCGTGAAATGCCTTCAAAATAAATTTGATGAATTAATTGGTGCAATTGAACAACTATCTCTCAATGCGCTTTCATCACTAGTCTATTCGTCCATATTATTAAATCATTCATACCTTTAATTTGAGCAACATATCTTAACTTCGTGCTAGCATTCATAGTTCGGATGGGGAAGGAGGGGGCAAGTGTTCTTGACTGTGGATAAATGGCTCGTAGGCGGTGAATCTGGTCGATAAATATTAAATAAATATATATGTATATAAATAAAAAGTTTAAAATGATATGCCAAAATATAAAAATAAAAATGCTCTTATAATGAATAATAATAGCCAATATTAAACTATCGATCATTCCTCGCTTTACCGTTTAATTCGAACTAAGGCGATCCAAAAAGGCGCCAAATTGGGAGCGACCATCGCATTTCGACACCCCCCATTGCAGCAAGGGGCGCCAAATTTCATCATCTCCCAGTTCCTCTTTCCTTCTGCAATTTAGCCCTAAAATTTCTCCTGCGATTAATCACTTGATTGTTGAAAATTCGGAGCAGGACGAAGAAATAAAGAGTGGAACGCTTCAAATCAACTGGCAAGACTCGTTATCAAGGTCTGTATTCAGTACCCTATTCGCTTCTGATTTTGATTTTTTATGAAATTAGGTTAGCCATCTTCAATTTTCAATTATTTCAAACTTAGGCTTTCAACAACGGACATGTTCTGAGTATTTAGATTTGAGTGGTTGGTTGAATATTTAGCCATGGGCTAACTGTTCCTCTCGATTATTGAATTCTGGGGAAGGACAGAATAAAGCCCCTGGTTCTGCTGTTAATAGATAGCCTTCGCTTCTCACATTCTGGTATGTAAAAATATTTCTGGATCTCTTAACATTAGGTTTAGTGTTATGAAGCTGAGTACATTTGGTGAATTTTCTGGTAATAATTTTGGTACTTTCTTTGGTCAATATTTTGTATCATTATTAAGCTATAATTTCATTTCACCGCAATTTAGGATCTGCATTTTTGGTAACAGCGGTGCTAATATCCACCACACTTTGATGCCCACGCCTTTTGAAATTGTAACGCCCAAAATTTTTCAAATATAAAAGGAGTAGATTGCCTTTTAAAATTCGAAGTGTGAGGAGAATTGAAAAGAGATCTGATCTGTATCACACCCTTTAAGATTCATCTTTAAGACTTTTTTTTACAAATGCAAAACCTGGCCAACCCTAGACAGAGCTCATTCCACTAGGTTGGGGTCCAGCCTTGCTGTAACAGCCCAAGTCCACCACTAACAAGTCCTCTTTCGATTTTTCTTTTCGAGCTTCCCCTCAAAGTTTTTAAAACGCATCTGCTAGGGAGAGGTTTCCACACCATTGTAATGGTTTGTTCTCCTCCCCAACCGATTTGGAATCTCACACATGCATTTTTAAATCTAGGACTAGGTCACTATTTAAAATTCTCGAATAGGAGGAAAGTTGAAAAATGATCTGATGTTATTCTAAGAAGTCTAATTAACTTTGTAGCATATAGAGCTCTACTTTCCAATATTTGAAATTCGTCGAATTCTGTAAAAAGAGGACCTGTAAAATTAATCACCCTTACTTGGGGAATGTTTTTATTATTAAAAAACAATTTCATTGATATATGAAATTCACAAAATTCAAGGCTGGTAATTCTATGATGATCACAAAACACTTTTCCAATTGGTTAAAAGGGATACACAGCTAGAAGAAGCAAATAGATTGACAATACACGCCAAGAAATAGCATGGTAAATAACAAGATCAAAGAGAATTCCATGAAGCTGCTTTTTTTCCATAAAATCTCTTCGATGATGGTAGTACTTCTGCTGATTGCAGATGTTTGTTTTTAAGTACATGTTTGAGCCAGTAACTAAATCCTTGGAGATTTAAGTTCATCTTAGTTTTCATTTCCTGCAGGAGGTGAGCTGATCATATGGAATTTGCACCATTTGGAAAGTGGCCAGACTTGGAAGGTCCTGAAGACGTTATTGTAAGGCTTATAAATTTTTTAATTTTTTTTAATTTTAACTTGTTTAGAAGCCATGAAGCTCAAAAGTTATAGCTGTCAATAAAGTCCAATGTGAATAGTAAATGGTTTTGAAGGAATGGATTGGGATCTAATGTCCTTCAAGTTTTCTTGTCACTAAAAAATGGTAGGGTTAAGATGGTTGTCTTGTGAGATCAAAGGTGCACACAAGTTGACCCAAACACTCACGCTATATTTCACCGCCAGGATGTGCTTGAACTGTGGTGGTCTCATCGTGATACATATTTGATATCTGGATCCGTAAATAATTCTTGCATTATATGGGATGCAAGCAGAGGTTGGACAAAATACACACACACGCAAAAGAAAAAAAAAAAAAGAAAGGAAAAGATATCTATTTCTAGAATTCAGCTTATTTGTTCCATTAATCTTTTAGCTTTGGTTGTTCTTCTCCCATTCTTCAGGTTCTGTCTATCAGATTTTAGATGCCTATTTGCACTATGTTCAAGGTGTGGCGTTGACCCATTCATCCTAGAGATGTAGTTAGAGATTGGTCATGGTCATCACAAACTCCCCTTCTCCCCTTCGTTAAGTTGCCAGTGTTAGCATTGCCAAAATAGTTGTCCAGTTATATCTGCTTAGATAAACACTGAAAAACAAATGAGATGATAATCATTTCCTGGGATCACAAGTATGTAGGAACTTTCTTGGTTCAGTTTTTTTCCTTCTTTTCGTTCTTTTTTTTTTTCCAACCTGTCTATGGGGAAAAGTTCAAGTGTGGGATGCTACCGAAGTTTTCCTGATAAGTACAAGGGGAAGAATAGAACAATTTGGTTTTTTTGTACACATGATCATTTATTTTTACTGCGTCATAATTTTATTTTGGGAGCTACAATACAGCTACTTTTGGAGACTCAATAAAATGATGCTCTTTTAATATTATTTTTAACCGTATGCATCATATTAAGAAATATCACTTGTTCTCTTCCATCCTACAACCTCTTGTTTCTCTACGGTCCACAATCATATTTCTTCTCAGCAAACTTTTGTTGATTTGCTTCTTTTCTCTTTTCAGGTATTTGTAACATATCACCAACGTTGAAATCGGTTAATACAACCTATATATTTTCTAGAAAGGGTCTTTCGAGGCAAGACTCAATTATGTGTAATTACTAGTTTGCTTATAATGATAAATGATAATTATGATGAAGCAATAATGATTCGTGATACCGAGCATCTTTGTACATCTATGACACTGAAAGTGTTGTGCCACTAGCAATCATGGCTGGTCTTCACTATGCTACCATAACTAATGTTGCATGGTGAATTCTCTGCTCCTCTCTCCTGGCTACTCATGATTACGTTCTTTCAATTGTAGTTGCTCATTTTCTCAATTTTGAAGTGCTTGTTCTTTAAAGGTTGGCAGATGCTCATTATTTAGAACTGGCTTCTCACGATGGTTACTGTACTTTGGTGGAATTTGAAAATTATGAGCTGGGATCACCAATCGTGCTATCAGGTCAGATTTACATTTGCTCCTTTCCTGTCATGTTTTCTCGAAGTAGTTGTTTGTCTTTCATCTTTCAATAATTTGTTCCTCATAGTTTATTTCCAATTGATATAGATGATAGAACATGCACAACGACCAATCAGAATACGAGTTCAACAGATGCGGTGACTGTAAACGATGATCAAAATAGGAAAACAGAAGCAGAAGTGAAACAAGAAGAAAACAAAAGCATTGGAAAACCAGATAACATAGTGATTGAAAAAATAGCCGACACCAAAGGACATGAAATGAAAAAGAGGACTAGTAAACAGGTACATAAGCTCTTCAAGCGACTCTGTTGCCAGCAAGCCAGCCAAAAGGCGCATTACACCATGGCTATTGTTCCATGAAAGAGGTACATTACCGACTGTTTATTATCTTTGTCCTGACAGATTTTGCTGAATTTTTAAAAGAATTTTGTTGCGGTGCTTGATCAAATGTTGGTCACCAATATAGTCAAAAATCAAAATGATAACTTCTTAAATGATGGGTGTATCATTCTTGATCTTATTTTCCTGGTGGATATTCTAATGATATTGGGAAGAGTTCTATGATATTATTATTCAGTTTTCACTTTTTGTTTTGGATTGCATGCTTCTCGGTGACTTGTATCAATTTTGTCTAATAGATTCGGACTAAAAACTAAAAAATTTGTGTTAACTTGCAAACTTGTGAACCCAACAGGAATAAAAAAGTTTGAGTTGACATGACGATGAGGATATATGTAGGCCCAAGTGTGTTGGACCAGATGATTTGTTGGGTTGTGTCACAAAGGTCACATGAATTGATAAGACCCATTGGCACAGCTTGCAACTTGGCTGGATTTGCAGGTAAGTAACTAGGATAACTCAATGCTCAACATAGCTTATAATTCAAAATTAGGTTGATACAATATAAATATGTATATGTTTATGAGTTAATGATAAAGTAATTTAATTGAAATTTTGTTTTGATATATCTACTTTGATAGCTTCCTATTTTGGCACTATACTTTCTGTTTTGGTCCACTTGACTTCCTTTACTTTTCAAAACAAGAATCTCGAAATTCATATTTTTAAAGTGCGATCTGGTTTTCTTTGGTATTTTTTTCTCCTCTTATTATTTTTCCCCACAATGTCAACATACAATAAATTTCTTTAAATATTGCCGTAGCTTAAAAAGTTCTTATTTTGTACAGACTTTGTATTAGAAATTTTTAATTTTGGTCTCAGAATTTTGGAATTTAACATTTTTGTTTGAAAATTTTGAATGTGTGATAATTCATGTTGCCATATTTGTAAATATAGCAACAAACTTTTAACTCCCATATAAACTTTTGATATATTTGTAGTTCGTATATTGGAAGTAATTGAACTTGTGTTTTGCACAGACCAAATGTTCATTTTCATTCAATTTCCAATTATTCTCTATTTTTTTTATACGTATTAAAGTTGATAATATCCGATAGCATTATTTGGCTTAGACTATTAAAGTCTTACTTCACATATAGAAGTTGAGAATGAGAGTTTAAGTTTTAATGGAGCTTTGATAGTATATTTATATGAGCATTGATTTAGGGTTTTCCTCCCTTTGTTTTGAATAGGGTTATGAGAAAGTCACCTCATGTTAAACCCAAAGCTGCAGGGAGAGCAACACTTCTGATACCGCAAGGCAGCTGCCTCAAAGTCTGTATTATCTTTGAGTAGCAACCAAAGTCCTAATGAATCTCAACCCATCAAACCTTCCACAAATTTCTTCTGAATCTGATTCCAAAACGAAACCCTAAAGATACACTCCACCAAATCAAAACCCAATCAGGTAATCAAAGTTACTCGAAATTGAAAATGGAACACTCAAAATTAAAGGGTATGAAGATTACCTCACGAGTGGGAGTATAAAGAGTGAGGTCACGATCTCCATTGGAGGATGATGAAGATAATGAGAAACCATGGTCGAGGTGAGCAAAAAAAAAAAAAAAAAAAAAAAAGCAAAAAAATAATTTTGGGTTGGAGTGGGGAACAAATTATTCTTTGGAGGGGTGGAAACTTTCTCTCTAGTAGACATATTTTAAAATTGTGAGGCTGATGACAATATGTAACCGACCAAACTGAACAATATCTGTTAATAGTGAGCTAGAACTGTTACGGAAGTTGTCAATAATGAGCTAGAACTGTTACGAAAGTTATCAGAGTTAGACATTGATACAGATCTCACATCGGTTGGAGAGGGGGAACAAAGCACTCGAGCCTCAAATGAAAATAAATTGTGAGATCTCATATTAGTTGGAGATAAGGAATGAAACATTATTTATAATAGTGAACAAAAGGGTAACAAAACACTCAAGCCAATGAAAATGAAAATGAATTATGAGATGGACAAAGATTCAAACATTAAAAATGTTTTAGATCATGATACATATATTAACTAATAGAATTATATTAAAAAATAAAAAAAATAAACACAAATGCATGGTATTCTATTAAATAAAGAACATAAAAACATAAAAAGTTAATTATTCGAAGCTTCAAGTTCCACAAGTTCTCAATCTAGAAGAAGTAAAATAACTGAAAAGATAAAGAGTCATTAAATCTCTTAAAAAAACACATCAACAAACCATCTAAAAAGAAGAACAAGAAAAGCAAAAGCCGAAAACAAAAACCCAATTCAATTATGATCACCATTTCACCAACCAAGAACATCCAGAATCCCCAAAACCACTCTGCAAATACGCTTCAGCCCTTCTTCCCTCCGGCCAAGCTTCGCCGGATAAGCCACCGTCGGGAACCCTTTAAACCCATCATGACAAACATTGGCATAATCCGCCGCCGCAGACACATGCATATACGCATAATCGTAAGTCTCCTCAGCCAAATCCTTCAGAGAGGCTCGAAGGGCTTCCGCTGCAAAGCCATACTTTTCGGAGCATTGTCTTAAGAGCTTCGTTCTGTTGTTGTTGGCAGCGGCCCCGGCGGAGGTTGGGAGCTGAGTGGAGAGGTAGGTGGCGGTGGCAGTGGCGTTGGAGACACCGATGGAGACCATAATGGCAGCGAGACCCTTGGTGTCGGCGGTGAGGCTGGTGGGGTCGGATTTTAAGGATGACATGCAGAGGTCATAGTAAAGGGTGTTTCTGCATGTTTTCTGGATTAGGGTTTGGTCGGCGGCCACAAATTTCGTGGTTTGGTGAAGAAAGATTGTTGGGTTTGCAAGGAAGAGGAGAAATATGAGGAAATTCTTCAAACCCATTTGGAATTTGGCTGAAAAATTCGATCTTTTTCTCAATTCAAGAGAGAGAAAGAGAGAGGATAATGAAGAAAGAACATGAAACTCTCTAGAAAGACAAATTCGAATGTTTCTTCAAAGGGAGAAGAACGAATTAACAAGGCCCAACAAGTAAGTAGTGAAGTGTTTATTGAGGAGAGAGAGAGAGAGGAGAGAGAAATATTAAGAACAAAAGAGTATGAAGAGTGTGAAGGTGATGGTGATGAAAAGTTCAATAAATGGAAAAACAGAGTTCGGGATCAAAAGTTCAATCGTTAACAACATTTTAAATAGGATATAAACAAAAATATTCTATACCAATCAACCTCGGAAGATAAGATATAATGTACTATTAACCCACTCCTAACCTGACTTCAAGGTTTTTATAGAGATCGGGTAGAGAATTGAGGATTCCATCCAATCAGACTTCGATGCATTAATCCTTCCTTTGATGAGTCAGTCTCCGCTCTATGGTAGAGCAAGCACACAGTGAAATATCAATCAAAATGTATATTCTATCTCTACCTATCTTTTACAGTCGAGCTGTTTCGTTCAGTAAAAGATTATAGTTATACAAACTATATTCTACAAATATCTTTATATCTTAAATCGAATTTCATAATAAAAAGTTAAGGAAAGAGAGAATCTAGTCTGAAAAATTGTTTTGATTCAGTAGATGGAAGCAGCTTTTGTGAACAATTATAGGTACTTTACATAAAGCAAGAAGAAAAAGATAAGAAAAGAAATGATTTTGAAGGAAGAATGATTCGATTCTCTCAAACCCCATTTAATATAATAATAAGATGTTTGACTGTAAGGGAAGGAATTGATGTGGCTTAATTACCCTTTTGATTAATCAGATTATTATTTTGGAAGAAGACAGAGACAGAGACAGAGACAGAGAGAGTCACGGGCCAAAGGGTATAAAGTGGCAATGGACAAAGACAAAATGCCATTTTTTGAAGGGTTTTTTTTGTTTGATTTTGGTACAATTGGCCTCCTCCATCATTTCTGCTATGGATTCTCTTTGTTTTCACTGTGTCTGTGTGTGTTTGTGTGTGTCTGTGTGGGGTAAATGTGCTTTTGATTGCAAATTATTGCATGCATGCACCCAAGTTTCTAAGGGCTATCATCAATGGCGTTAGTGCTTTTGGATTGTGATATGCCCATATAATGGTTTCATTGTCTTTGTTCTCTAAAATCCTTTTCTAAGTTTCAACCTCGTGATAGTTCTTTAAAGGTAGCTCGATATTAACAACAGATAGTTCGAGAAGTCTTCCTATCATTGTAACCTCTAATGTCTTGAGTGCATATATCAATAACAGATAGCTCGATGAGTCAGTCATTGTATGAGCCGTTCATTGTAATAAAAGATTTAAAGTTCTTAATCGATTTATGTAGCTAATGTCCAATTCACTTTTTTTTTTTTTTTTTTTTTTAGTTCAATTGTAATGGCAATTTTTTTGTGATATAGAAGCGATTGAAAGTTTTTCCATTTTATGTATTATCAATCTGATTAACTAGTGAATTTTCTTTGTTAGCAATATTTTCATATATCTAGACGAAGTGAGTGAGCAATGTGTTTCGAGAAATTGTTGAAACTTTGGTGGCTAGTAGCTACTAGACATCTCTAAATTGTTGACCCTCTTAGTATATGAAATGCATTTGTGAATTAAAATAAATACAAAATATGATTGAATTTTAAAATTTCAAGAAATAAAATTATTAGGACCTTATTACTATCCTATACAAAACTAAAATGTCAAAAATGGAGGTGTAGGGAATCAAACCCTATTCCTCTCATGCAAGTAAGTGCTCTAAAATAAATACATTTTGAAAGAGATTAATGTAATTATATTTTTGTGTATAAAAAATTGAGAATATTATATTTATAAAAAATAGAGGTGCGAGGAATTGAATCCCGTGCTCCAAAATAAATACATTTTTTATGAAGATTAAGATAATTATATTTTTTGTGACTAAAAAAATTGGCTCTTTCCATTGTGCAAGCAAGATTAGTTGGATTAGCCCACTTTTCTGTAGGTTATATATTTACTTATGCGGCTTTCTTGATTGCCTCTACATCAGGCAAATTTGGTTAATTTTGTATGTGTTGTATCCTCGAAAATCTCATTTCTTTCGATGGAGAAGGGGATCTTCTTTCTTATATTTCTACATCTAGGATCTGACTTGTATCATTGATACTACTAGGAATGGAATCATTATGGCAAGGAAAAGTTTAATTCAGAGGGAGAAGAAGAGGCAAAAATTGGAACAAAAATATCATTTGATTCGTCAATCCTTAAAAAAGAAATAAGCTCCAATTTTATATATGTGAAAATTGGAGGAGTGGAGAATCGAACCTCGTGCCTCTCGCATGCGAAGGGAGCGCTCTGCCATATGAGCTATACCAACATTGGAGCTCCAAAATAAATATATTTTTTTCGAAAATTAAGGTAATTATATTTTTGTGCCTGAAAAAATTGAGAATGTTATATTTATGAAAATATGTTGGTGCGGGGAATCGAAACCCTTGCCTCTCGCATGCGAAGCGAGCGCTCTACCATATGAGTTACACCCCATTAGAGCTTCAAAATAAATACATTTTTTCGAAGATGAAGATAATTATATTTTTGTGTATGAAAAAGTGCGGGGAATAAAACCTCATGCATCTCGCATGCGAAGCTGCGGGCACTCAATTGAGAATGTTATATTTATGAAAAGGGGAAAAACCCATGCTGCGAACGCTCTACTATATGAGCTACACCCCATTGGTGCTGGCAAAATAAATACATTTTTTCGAAAATTACCAAATTAAGGTAATTATATTTTTGTGTCTAAAAAAAAATTAAGAATGTTATATTTATGAAAATTGAAGGTGCGGGAAATCAAACCCCATGCCCCTCGCATGCAAAGCGAGGGCTCTACCATATGAGCTAAACCCCCATTAGAGCTCTTAAATAAATAAATTTTTCGAAGATTAAGGTAATTATATTTTTGTGTCTAAAAAATTAAGAATGTTATATTTTTAAAAATTGAAAGTGCGGGAAATCGAACCTCGTGCCTCTCGCATGCAAAGCGACCATTGTACCACATGAGCTAAACCCCATTAAAGATCTAAAATAAATAAATTTTTTCGAAGATTAAGGTAATTATATTTTTGTGTCTGAAAAAATTGAGAATGTTATTTATGAAATTTGGAGGGACGGGGAATTGAACCCCGTGCCTCTCGAATGCGAAGCAAGCTCTACCATATGAGCTACACCCCCATAGATGCTTCAAAATAAATACATTTTTTCGAAAATTAAGGTAATTATATTTTTATATCACAAACGGGAATTGAAACCCTTTTCTCGCATGTGAAGCAAGCGCTCTACCATATGAGCTACACCCCCATTGGTGCTCCAAAATAAATACATCATTTTTTCATAAAAAATGGAGGGGCAGGGA